GAAACAACCGCGGCATTTCTCCAAGGATGACATACCCCAAAGAAAGTGTCTCAAGTTTCGAAGCCTGGCACTTCGCTTGCGAAAAGGCGGAGAAGGGCATGGGCCCAAGCATTGCGAAGCAGAGATTGCATATCGAAATGAAGGCCAAGGTTGAAATAGAGTATACATGCAGCCCTAGTGCAGGATGAAAGGCTTAGCCTTTCGATCCGGGGTACCGCGCAGGGGTTCGATGAGCTAGATCTGCCGCCTAAAGCGGCAAACAGGGTACGGGTCGGGGTAATGTTGAAGCCAACCGTCTTTGGACTTTTTGGTTTCCGAATTACCAGGTCAGATTTTACGATGATCGTTGCTTGTTTGGAGGCGGCGCTGTGGAGTTGGAAAAGTGCTTCTTCGGCTTTCCTTGGATTCAACCGACGGCATGGCGGACCGCTTGTGTCACAGAAGGACTTTGTGCATTGCGTGTACTACCTTTGGTATTTTCCACTTGGACGCGCTGTCGGCTCTTCCCCGGAGAACTCACAGTGGCGCATGTCAACAGTCAAAGACATGTATGTCTTGGGGCGATCGATCCACTGTCATCCGCTGATTCTAGTTCAACAAAGCAGCCAAGTGTTCGATGAATGCAGACATAACGCCATCAGAGTTGGTAGAGTCCGAGCCAGCCGTCAACCAGATGCTATGATCTACAGCAAAAAGTTGCAGTAGCGTACTAGCCGTATCGACGGTTGTCAGATCTGGTACAGAATGCACAAGAAGCGCGAGTTTTTCTCGATTACACAAGGCCGTCCCAGCGACAGATCCGGTACTTTGAGGGTTGCTTCATCGAAATAAAGAGGCTCTGGAAGGGCGCCAGGGTTGTGGACGGGAGTGCAGAGTTGGCCTTATGCTCACGTAACTGCCGGGATTGAAGGTTGGGTATTTCGAGGCGCGTAAGTCACTCGGAAACTCCTGGTAGAGTGGATGGCACCACAACAAGGATCCAGAAGAGCCAACTTCCGCGTTTGTTCGTGCTACTAATGCAAAGGAAAGCGGGCTCAGCTTACCAATATAACTGTCCTTTAGTCCGAGGCTTTGTTCAACTGCTTGAGGAGATGCTATCAAAATACACAGCATGGGTCGAGGCGTACTGTGTAGGTGTCTCGTCGACGAAGATGCCGCCCAACGCTAGTGAAGAACTGTATTCTCCCTCAGACCGAAGAGGCAGCAATGTCGTCAAGTACAGAACTCAAGTCCCTAGTACACCACGTGGTTGCTGCATAGCCGATAGTGCGTACATTGCTGAGCAAGTTGAGCGCCTCGGTGACTGTTGAATACTCTGCGTTCGGCAATGCGCCCTCCCCGGGCCCATTATGTATGTTGATTATGACTGTAAACTGTACTCGAAAGAAATGACAATACTCTTTGGGTAGCGGATGTCTTTGGCTACGGTATGACAAGTAACAGTAACACGAAGATACCGTGGCATACACACTGTAAAGGGCGTCCCATACGCCTGCCAAGGGACAGACGTAGAGCGGAAGAATCACCAAGCCACGCCTGTCCATAGCTCTACTTGGAGCGCGACTAGCTAAGAGCGGACGACGAAATATCGATTTCGGCGGAGATCAGTCAACGGAGAGCAACACCTGGAGAGATACAGCGAGAGAGTGCTGACAGACGGCAATGTGGAATGAATCCTTCCGTAGTATGCTTGGGCACCGAGAACAAGCTTAACGAATGCCGGGATCGGGTATCGAAAGAAGCCTCGCCGTATGCCCACGTTGGATCTTTTGTGGCCCAGATGATGGTATTTTCAGAAATTAGAAGACGCGGCAATGCAACCCACACGGGTACGTATTGCGCGCTCGGTCATGCAAATTGGACAGGGATGGTTAGCGATGCGAGAGTATATTTCGAGAGTGCTAGACCTGAGGAGACTCCGAAACTGATGAGTCGGGATGAAGAGGCCGCATCGTGCCAAGCAACGTAAACGATATTGACGGCGCAGGAAAAGTCAGACTCTGGCGCCTTCTGCCTAATTGATCGTGAGTTGAGGCTGTTGTTGAGTGGTGGCATCTATAAAGATTTTCGGGCGTATCGAGAAAGGTAGCGCCGTAAAGATCAACAAATTCTCTCCTCTTCATCCATTCGCTAAGCAATCGTGTTTATCCAACATGTCGTCATTCTCTTCGCAATATTCGCCGTCGCCTTCTGTGACACCAGAGGTACTCAACACACCAGCAACAGAGCGATCTGTGCTATTCGACGACGAACTAGTTGCGGATCCTCTAGACATCAATGGAACTAATCCTGCCTTCATCATGGTCGTTGGCGGATTGGGGTATATCGGCTCGCATACGGTATTGGAATTGCTCAAGGAAGGCTATAACGTCCTGGTCATCGACGATTTGAGCAACTCGTACGAAGACGTCTTGACAAGAGTACGATCTCTTGCCGCGGAATACTGCGCAATGCGGGAGCGTCGAATGCCAGCACTACACTTCCGTCAGCTGGATTACAGAAGCGCACAGATGAAAACCGTATTGGCTAGCTATTCATCGTTTTCCATCATCAACAAGCCAGCACCTATTGGAGCACGTTATCCGTACTCGACACTGCAAAGAACGGATTCCGGCATTGACATGGATATGGATGACGCGCCAGAACCTATCGTTGAGCGGCAATGTAGGATATCAGGTGTCATCCATTTCGCAGCGTACAAGTCGGTGGAAGAGAGCATCCGGATGCCTTTGAAATACTATAACAACAACGTTTGCGGACTCGTTGACTTTCTTGCCTTGCTGGAAGAGTTCGACATCAAGAATTTTGTGTTTTCGTCTTCCGCAACGGTATATGGCGAGGGCGCTAATTGCGGACTACCTCTTCGCGAGGAACTCTGTGTCCACCATCCGGAGTCGTTCGTAGAGAACGATGGAACGGAACGTCGAGTCTTACCAGGAGTCCTAGGCCTCACATCGCCTTACGGGCGATCGAAGTTCATGTGTGAATCCATCTTGGCAGATCTGGCACTCTCTGACCCCACATGGTCCATAACCGCCTTGCGATACTTCAATCCGGTATGTACAATCAACACTCGAGATACGGAGACACAGCTAACGGATGCAGGTTGGTTGTCATGAGTCTGGCATCCTAGGTGAAGACCCTCGGCAGAAACCAAGCAACCTGATTCCAGTAATTGCGACGGTCTTAACCGGCATCAAGCCAGTTTTAGACATCTTTGGTACCGATTGGAACACCCCAGATGGAACAGCCGTTCGAGATTTTATCCATGTAGTGGATTTGGCTCGAGGCCACATTGCAGCTCTGGCAGCTTCGACAGCTGGGCGCATTAATGCACCATTCAGAACTTACAATCTCGGTAAGTCAGAGCTCTTAAAAAAAAACGCAAGCCATTGCAAGTTCTCATACTGACCCCGACCAGGAACAGGGCGAGGACACACCGTTCGTGAAGTACTCCAAAGTTTGGAAGATGCATCTCAACGGAAGATTCCAGCCAGAGAAGTTGGCCGGAGGGCGGGAGACGTCGGCTTCTGCGTGGCGGAGGTGCGACGTGCAGAGACCGAGCTGCAGTGGAAGGCAGAGAGGTCACTGAACGACTGTTCTGGTGATGTGTGGAACTTCACCAAGGCTCGATGCCCAGATTTGTAGTTCGATAGCCTTTCCGACGGCTCTGGACCTGTTTTCTTCAACGCTCATTTCCTGCATTTTCCAGCATCGGCGGCATTCCATCAAAATAGATATCATCTCAATCCAATACCCAATTTCCTCAACTGATCAACCAATGCAGATGCGACGATCTTGTATGAGGACGCTCGACGAATCAGTGTTCTTACGCACCAGCACCGAGGTTTCCACGACATGATCTATCGGGCTCGAGCGCGAAGTCCAAAAGACGGGAGTCTTCTGACGCGACATGCTTCCATGCTCTTGTTCGTTGCGGCCATGAATCGCCACGAGGCTAACATTGTTCAGGAAGTTGCAGCCACGTCCAGGAAGTGATAAAACCAGTATCGAGCGTTAACAAGCTCTAGAAGCTTCGAGCAGGTCCGCCTCCTTTCATATCCATCCAGCGTCTAGAAAACCTTCTTCTGACCAATCCAAACTGCGCTTGAATTGCTTTTCCTCGTCGTGTGGGTGGGCTCGTTACTGGTATCAGATAAGGCAAAGTCAGCATAGCGAGCCAAGGCGACCTTGCATCGAGGCGAAATGCTAGACCGAGGCGAAATCCTAGAGGCAACACTCGGTTGCTACGACGCTGCCCGCACTGCGTGCGAATCACATTTCGTCGACTAAAAAGAACGCCCAATCGCATCAGACAGATCATGTGGCAAGCCCGCTACTTCAGCTGGGTCGCTACACTCAACCCTTTCCGCCGAACTGTGCGCAACAACCACTAACCCCACGATAAACTGCCAGAGCGAAGAGCGGACTGTGAGCTAGCAACGCGGCGGTGACGGGAATGCGCCCAAAAACGGTCCAGTAATCGACGACGGCATCTCCGTGTAGGCACTTTGCGGGACCCGATTCGCCAATCCCGCGTTTCAAACCCGGTGGGCTTGCGTTGAATCGTACAAGCGAAGTACAGGCGACGGCAGGATCCAACGGTGCGTCAAAGGCGACGGGGTTGTCCGGGCCCATGTTCGACGGTGCGATGATGAGGTTGCACAATACATGTTGTCCTAAGCTGAAGAGCTGAATGAGGGCGGTCGCAGAGGGGCCGAAAAGGGAGGCTGAGGCTCTCCTTGCCTTGCATCTTGCGTTGGGCGGACACGACCGATTGGATGGCAGACGGGTTCGAGAGTCGGAAGCTTTTTGGCGAGCGATTCAGCGCTAAGCCAAGGGCATCACGTGCCTTTGTCAACAGTCTAGCAGCCCGCACCCGTTAGGAACCTCAACGTCTCTACCTTACGCACAGTCGCAAAGCCACACCGACCTGGATACCGTGGACGCTTGAAACGTTGCGATTAGAACAGGTGTCAATTCAGATGCCCCCTTCCGCAATGGCGATGCCTGGTCAGCACATGACGGGCAGCGCTCCTTCCAACATCTCGGCTGGCGTAGATCCCGCTTTCTGGGGTGGTGGCCACCAGGACTTCCACTCGCAATCGGACTCCACATCGCCATTGTCGCCCTCGCTAGGGCTCCATCTGTCGCCGACAGCAAGCATTACCACCCAGAGCAGCATCAATGGAAGTACCCCGCCGGCGCAAACTCCCCAATCCGACAGCGGCAGCAAAGGAACGGGCGGGAAGACCAGTCAGAAGCAGTCGCCTAACGACCAAACCAGAGCATCGGTCGCTGTCGCATGCGTCCCATGTCGCAGCAGACATTTGAAATGCGACGGTGGTGTACGATGTTCCCGATGTAGGACCGACAATGTGGAATGCACCTACATCAAGTCGCGAAGAGGCTGGAAAGGAAAGCGAAAAACCAAGGAAGATAGCGCGACAACGACGACGACGACAACAACGACTCCAAATGGTGGGTAATCGCGATGATCAAATTGACATGTCTAACACGGTCAGGTGAAGTTCCAGTGACCAGTGGCCACATCTCCTCACCAGAGTATTCCTACAATGGCGATGCTGGCTTGAACCAGCTCAGCCCAACTCATGGCCTTGGCGTCCGACCTGTGGCCCCACCAGTTGCTCAACTCAACCTAAATGGAACCGCACGTCTGAACCGCTTTGGCCATTTGGGGCCAGAGACTGCTATTCAGGCATTCTACCACTTCTTCTACAACTCACATCCCTTTTGTCTCCCGGAGCCCAGGTTGGTGGAAATCTTCAAGGAACGCCATGCCCCACTTTTGGAATACGCTGTCCAGTTCATCGGGTCCAGTTTCATACCATCCGTGCCCACAGCCATGTATAAAGAAGCTTTGGATCAGCAGATCGACAGCAACAACTACCCGAGAGACGCGTGGTCGGTACAAGCACTACTGCTCTTTGCCATTGGTCTCCACGCTCACAACGAGGTCCCACGCTCAGCACAAATCTTCAGCATCGCTCAAAATCTGACGCTGGAGATTGGCCTCAACCGGATGGAGTTTGCGCTTGTGCATGGAGAAAACGACCCTCAGTTGGAAGAGAGCTGGCGGAGAACATGGTGGTCCATGTTCACAGCCAACGGCATGATGACAGCAGTCAATCCAGGTGTGCAGTTCAGACTGAAAGACGTAGTCACCGACGTCCCGTTGCCATGCGAGCAAGACCAGTATCTCTCAGGTGTAAGTCACTCAAACCCCTGCTATCACACTCTGACATGTGTCAAATCGGCTTGGCAATGTTTCCTTCTTTAGTGCGATCGTATACCCTTGCCGCTCCAGATGAGATCGTCTGACTTGCATGTCACACTTGATAGAGTTATGACTTGCATGTCAAACCTTATCTACCCCGCGGAGTGCATAGTTGACCCCAAGGAGAGAAAGAAAGAAAAGAAACAAGAGAAGACTAACACGTACGCGCAGCAAATCCCTTATCCCCCAACCCTCCAAGACTATGACGACTCGTCTTTTCTCGCCCACGCCTTCACCTTCTCCTCCTTCACCTACCTGATAGACGCCATCCGCATCCTGGGCAAAGTCTTCGAAACAGCTCGTCTCGACAGCACCTTTGAGTACCACGCCGTCGACGTCGTAGATCAATACCTTTGTAACTGGCGTCTCCACCTACCCGCTTCGAAAATGGAGCTCGTTTCAAACGACGGCCACATCGACGAGGTCCTCTTCCAAGCGCACATGGTAAATGCCGGCAGCACAATCATGCTGCATCGGCCGCGCAGCAATCTGGGCTTTGGACGCGTCGAAGGCGTGAATATATGTGTGCAGCCAGGCCAAGTCTTGCTGCCGACGCAGACGAGAGAGATTCACACGGCAAAGTGCCTGACGTCTGCGGAGAACATCTCGGCCTTGATTCGTCTGCCCGGAAACTTGATAAAGCATACCCCCCTTTTCACCTGCGTCGTGGTAATGGCGAGCGTCGTCCATCTTTCTTACTGGTCCTTTCTCGTTCCAGACGGCCAGGACGACATCATTAAACAATCGATACGCCTCGATGTCGGCACGCTGCAACAGTATAGCAATACGTGGCCGATTGCTAATGTGGTGCTCGGACAGGTGAGGGGCGTGGCGCATACGTTATTCAACAGCAAAAAGGCCATGTCAATACATTTGTGGAGTAATTTGCACCAAGGGGATGTCATCAGAGGGGTCATCGAGGAAGGACGCGAGGTCCCGACGCAGCAGTATGCGCAGTTGATTGCGCCGTGAGTATTTCCCTTTCCTTTCTTCTTCTGGCATCTCCGAGTGCTTGATCATATGCTGACCCTTTCTTCTCTAGGATGTTGAAGTCGTAGACACTGACTTGTCTTGCTTGCTCTTGTTGTTCATTCTTGATTTAATTTGTCTCGTTCTCGCGCCGATATCATTTGTTGTTTTGATATTCTGTTGCGCCGTCAAAACACATGCGTCTCTCAAGTACAGCGAGCGAATCTTCTCATTTAATCAGTTGATGAATCTCTATCGCTGCGATGTCTTCCAGGCGCTTTCATGTCTGCTTCCATGCGCCCCTCTTTATCTGTATCATGAGCACATCGGATATCATATTGTCGTATCTTCTATTCGGGATCAGGTGGCGCATTCACGAAATCCCCTAGCAGCGAGCCAGCGTTGTTGGAACAATGCGGTGGTGTTGGAAAAGGACCTAACGAGGACATGAAGCATGCTGTTGTCGTAGTAGTAGTAGTAGTGATAGTTGCGCCATTGTGCGTGTTAATAGTAGAATCGAAAAGCCTTCCTAATCGTCAATCGTGTCTTGAGTCATTCATGCAGAACGTCTAGTTGTTCATTCGTCGAAGCGCCGGCTAGTCCAGCGCTTCATGTCGGATACCTCCGCAATTCCTCCTCGTCATGCCCAATTTTCACTAAAGATGCCCTCGGTCGCATATCCGTTTCCCATTCCAACTAAATCTCATCCCATGTCGTATACCCATTAGAGCCCTAGCCGTGGCCTAGAGCAGCGCTCATGACCGTTATCTACAAATCGGCGTCGTCCTCATCGGGCAGAGGCAAGGCAGAGGCGGCCTCCATCTCCTGTCGGTACTGGTCGAGAACGGCCTGGTCGACCTGGACCTCGGGAGGCGCAAGAGCAGGGGCGGCGACAAAGTCGAGAGACTGGTTGCCGACGAGTTTCCTGGCGAGCCAGAGGAAGGGCTTCTCGAAGTTGTAGTTGGACTTGGCGGAGATGTCGTAGTACTGGAGGTTCTTCTTTCGGTGGAAGGTGATGGACTTTGCCTTGACCTTGCGCTCTTTGACGTCGACCTTGTTACCGGTGAGGACGATGGGGATGTTCTCGCAGACACGGACCAGGTCGCCTGAAGAGATTAGTCTTGTGGTAAATCATAAGAGTGAGGGAGACGTACGGTGCCAGTTGGGGACGTTCTTGTATGTGATACGCGAGGTAACGTCGAACATGATGATACCGCACTGGCCGTTGATGTAGTATCCATCGCGAAGACCACCAAACTTCTCCTGACCAGCGGTGTCCCACACGTCGAACTGGATGGGTCCGAGGTTCTGTTATCTGGTTAGTACCGTATCGCGCGATGTGACGAGGATCGGGTAACATACGGTGGTGAAGCCGAGAGGGTGGACCTCTACTCCGAGCGTCGCAATGTACTTCTTCTCAAACTCTCCGGTCAAATGGCGCTTGACGAAGGTGGTCTGTGGTGGGGCTGTTAGCAATCTTCTTCCACGGTTTGCGCAGCCTTGAATCGCGCAGCCGTCTAGGGTCTCTCTATTGAGACGGCTGCGCGAGTGACTGCAACAAGCATCGTACCTTTCCAGTACCACCATCACCGACAAGCACGAGCTTGAAGGTTGGGACTGAGCCTTGTGCGGCAGTCTCGGCCATGTTGTCGAGTGTTGTGGCGGGGTGATGTGTGTGAGTGAGGGGGGTTGGTGGGCAGAAGCTGAGCAGAAAAGATGTTAGTCGAGGTCGCCCGGTTTTATTGAGCAAAAGGCGGTGGTGCAGACTTACAGGTGATAAAGAGTGGGGAAAGTTGCGGGCGTGAAGTGGGCAAGAAGAGGTTTTGTTGTGCTCAAGTGTTGGCGCCCGGGCGGTGTAAATCTCTTGGCGCCTTCCGCAATTTTGACCTCACAGCCAGGCAGGTTAGGCAGGTTAGGCTACAGCAGTCATCACACACACACAATCAGCCATCAAGCTGCCATCAAGCAACTTGGACAATGAAATGTTTCGTTTGGTCTTGAGCAATTAACGCCTCTGAAATGTTTCGTTTGTCTCGTTGTCTCGAGCAATTAACGCCGGGTATCATGCTATGCTTTGTCGCTATGCTTGTTGGCCAAACCAGTGCGCCACCCAGCGCATCCATCTGCTCGCCCACCCTACATGGGCAGCAGATGGCAGCCCAATAGCCCTCTTCCGCCCCAGTTCCTCCGTGGTGTGAGTTGCATCTGGACTGTCTCTGCCGGGCCGCCCGATGGGTTGGGTCGCAGCGCCTTGACGGTAATGGGAATCTGTATGCTGTAAGCCTCGTGCACGCAATGCTGCAGGTATCCCGTGTATTGTCGACGCACCCCTTCGTTCTGCGACACTGCCTCTGCCACGCGCGACAGCCTCTCGTGGTTTGTCCAGTCCACCCAGCCAAACTTGGTTATCGTGTCGCCCACCTGCAGGCCCGCCGTGGCTGCCGGGCTGTCTGCCACGACGCTGTTGACCTTTGCGAAAGGCGCTTCGATGGCGGCGGGCGGGGCGCTGAGCTCTGCCTGTGCTCCGTTGGTCGTCGCAGGAGCGCTCGCCTGCTCCTGTAGTCGGGCGTGGTGCTCGTGGAGACCCTTCTCGATGCGCGACATGAGGTCCTTGTAGTCATTCTTGAGCCGGATGATGCGCGCGCGCGTCGTTCGTACTGCGACGGTCAGCGACCTGTGGCATGACGCAGGCTCCTGCAACGCTCACTCTGAGGGACGTCGATGTCACTGCGAGGGAAGCCGTCAAGGGTCGTCAGGCCGGTACTCATGCGCACGCCATGCTACAACAAGACGTTAATTGCTTATCTCGCCTACAGCCCTGACTTGCGTACCGAATCCAGCACCTGCCCTAATGCCTTCAACTCTGCCTCTACTCGATCCTTTTCCGCCATGAGCTCCTGGAGCGTCAGCTGCTCTTTTGCAATGCCATTCGAGTAGCCTGATGACGTAGGCCCCGAAGAGACAGTCGGCGCGTGGATGTCATCCATTATGTAGACGCTGTGAGAATGAGGTCGCAAGATTGTTGGACTGCTTACCACAGCTTGCCCAGCTGAGCTTGGTGTGGGGGAGGGGAGCTCGAGCTGGCTCAGAGTGGCCAATGGTGCGGGGCAAAACTACCGGAACAGTCGGCCTTGCTTCTTTCACTTCTTCACTTCTCTACCAAACTTCAGTAATCGGCAAGCCACGCGCGTGACGTACGTGCATCGCGAATAGCCTTGCAAGACACATGCATTCGATTCAGCTGCCTCGCTACCAGCATCGACATGGCCAAAGCGAAGTCATTCTACTGTCGCTCTTGCCGTCATAGTAAGTCGCGACTACCAAAATATGGAAAACACAATGCGGCCGCCATGTTAGCTGCTCTGAGTCCATGGCTCACCACTTGCCCCTAACGAAACTCCGTCCATGGCTCCCGATCGTCTGCGCTTTACGATGCGCCGTCTGGACCCTTTCCCTCTAAATGCCGCCATCACGTTCTGGAGAATTTGCGCCGCTGTGCACTTTCCCCCAGACCTCTTTCGGCCTGCGTACCCAGTAGTCATATCCAACATGCTCCGTCCAGCTTCCTTGTCGCTCTGCATCGACCAAGTCTCTCCTTAAGCCATCGTCGTTGGATGCAGTAGTATTTATCTCATGCCGCAACAAGCCTTCGTACACGTCCTATCACAGCGTCGACTACTCGACCTGCACTGACATGGCATATGTATTGTCGCTTCGGCCTCAGAGCCCACTCAAGCGTTCCTTCAGCGACAATCCATACCTGAATTCCTGCTCTCCTCAGAAAGACACGTTGCTTGCACCGCTGAGCGACATCGCCGCTCGCAATGGCTCCGCGTGCTCATTGTATTCCCTTGGTGCGACTAGAGCCGACTGGTCTCCAAGTAACGAGAACACACCACCCCTCACCTCTCAGTCGCTGCTGGATCTTGTGCCTGAAAAACCCGGCTTTCCTTTCAACACCAGGCATGTTGTCGAAGAGCCACGCAAGCGGAACTGTGGGCCTAGTCGACCACCACCGTCTTTCTCACGACTGACAGCCCTTCCGAAGCCAATCCCAAGAGGGTACCATAAGTCGCAGCAGGTGGTAGAGTCGTCTGAAGACGACCAAGACTCAGCTGAAGACATGGACATTGATGATAACAACTTTGATGATACACGCCTGTTCAACCTCTACGAAGCCATCCATGTACCATTACCAGAAGGTCGCTTTACCGACGACGATGGAAACGAGCCACACGAAGAGTACGAAGAAGAACCTGTTGCGATTACTATTTCCTCGCAACCCTTCCGGCGGTGGATGAGTACTCTAAAACGTCGGCATGCTCAGCGATGGAAAGAAAACTTCTCAGACTTACCACGGCCATCTTTTGACCCTACAGACGGCTCCTCTGTCCTTTCTCGACCGCTAGGGAGACTTTCTGAGTCGGCACGTCGAACGTCAGAGTCCATGACGTCTTCAATGGGTTACGTGACAGCAATGAAGTCGGCTTCGATAACCACTGCTAGCAAGAGCCTCGCGCCTCGCTCGGAGGTGGGCAAGGTTCGCTTGGGCAACAGAAGCGGCAACTACTCCGAAGTACGTAGATCACTTGAAAGCCATCGGGGGGCATTGGGACCTGTGCTTGATGAGAACGCATGGCTTCGATCATTGCAGCGTCGCAAGGTTGTTGAAGAACTAATATCATCGGAGGAAAGCTACATCGCGGACCTTAAGGTTTTGATCAACGTATGTTACCCGAACAAGCCACTCTGGTCAACTACTGACCTTTTAGGACTATTTCATGATCCTTACTGCCCTTCCTACTTTATCGGGTCAGACGCGATCATCCATACAACAGAACATTTCTCAGATCTTACAGCTCCACGAAGACTTGCTCGCCGAACTCCACCATGTTGTACCTCAGGCAGATTTCACAAAAAGCGCGTATCAAGAGATGTATCCCGTGACGAAAGCCAAACACATACGATTCCATAGCGCAGACATCGTCCCAGGGCGCTTTGCCGAGCACAAAACGGCCAGAAGGCTCAGGCATTCTTTAGAGATTGGGCGGTCACCAGATCGCAGACCCCAAGGCCTAGTGACCGACACGCAGACGGCAGGGAACATCGCCAAGGTCTTCAATAAACATGTACGTATGTTCGATGCTGCAACATCCGCTACTGACGCGTTCTAGATGAAACGCTTCTTCACATACGAGGAGTATGGTGCGCATTGGACGACAATGTCTCAAGACCTTACCACCATGTGCAAAGGACTACACGGCTGGCAAGAGTACGAGCGAGGTGTCGAAGCGCTGCAGAAGGTGGTTGCATCAGAAAACAATCGAGAAGCGGGTAGCAAGAAGGCGCTCAGTTTTCCCGATCTCTTGATCAAGCCGATCCAGCGAGTCTGTAAGTACCCTTTACTATTCGATGACTTATGCCGCCACACGCCCGTATACGACGACCCTGAAGCGCACGCCGAACTTGAGAAAGCTCTCTTCCGTCTACAAGAGACTATTCGCGAAGTCAACAAAGCCAAGGACGACCCTCAGACCCGGCGCCTCATTGAAATCACTTGGCAGCTACAAGACCGATTAGCTTTCTCGGACCACAAGATATCTCGAGCTCTCGTCTTCCGCCTTCTTGGACATGTTCTCCTTTGTGGCGCTCTGCATGTCACCTATCAGACACCTGATCGTATCAAAGGCTCATACCTGGTATGCGTCCTGTACAAGTCTTGTCTGGTACTTGCAACGGCAAGTCGGTTCCGTACACCTTACACCGTCGTCGCTTCCATTGGACTCGCCAATGCCACCATCGAGGAGTCTGATAATGGCCGGGGCATCCAGTGCCACACCGCTCCACATACATGGAAATTCGTCTTCGAACACGGCCACCGCCTGCACGAACTCATCTTCAGCGCCTGCACCTCCCAGGAAGAAGAAGTGTGGAAGAAGCAGCTACGCGAGCGTATTGTCTACGAGACACACGATTTCGTCGAAGGCCAATCTAACATGCAAGATATGTACACCTCCCTGTCGCTAGGACTCAAGTCTCTCGGCCCTGTTTTCGGCCACGCAAACACTCTCGTGCGACGCATGTCCGTCCACCGAGCAGCGACTCTAGGCGCAAAAACAAACATGAGTCAAGTCATCATCAAGAACACCCAGGCGCAGAAGTTACCAGACACACCTCCTACTTTCTCACCCAGCGTAGTAACACGATCGCAATCTCACCTCTCCTCAAACCACATCCCCACATTAGCTCCCCGCCGAGCCGAGCGCGTCCGTCTAGAAGGGGCACTAGAAGATGTATGGACGAAAGATATGCTGCCCTTCCCTGGCATGTCGAACAGGCGGATGGAAACCCAGATTCGCGCTTCCGCCAACTCCGTCATGCGCAAACTGAGTATGGCAAGCATCGCCAGCAATTTCTCGCGGAGATCTCCTAGCCTATCTAACACAAGTAACACGCGCTCTGAAGATTCCTTTGGCAGTCGCATGCACAAGATGTCGAATGGGAATCTGCGCGCGCAATCTGTGGCGACGGACAGACGGCCTGCTGTTGTACTGCCGCCTGTGGTGGATTTTCACAGCGCACCTGCGGCGTTTTTGCCTGAGGATTTTGAGGTCAGGGATTCGAGGCCGGGGAGTAGACGGAGGAGACTTGCTAATCGTGCTATTGGCGTCGAACGGCCGGCGACGACTGATAAAACGGCGCTGAATAAGCCGAAGAAAGTTAGGAGGCTGTCAACGAATTTGATTAGTCTTCCGCGATCAGACTCTAGTGCGAGGGCGGCCGAGAGAAAAGCGAGCAAGGACTCGACCGCAACGACGCTGAGGGGTGCTGTGCTGCCCAATGAAGTGGACGTCACGAAACACATGGAGAACAGGAGGCAGAAGAGACAATACGAGTACAACATGACTGATTCGAGACCGGCTTCTGCAGGTGTGGCGAGTGTGGCTTCGAACAAGTTTGCGAAGAGCAAGAGTAGGATTTTTAATTTCTTTAGATAGGTAAAGACAACACACACACGAAGGGGGCAAAGAGCTAGGGATGGAAAGGTGTATGGCTTTCCTTTGACACTTGACGACTGTTACGATGACGACTACGAACTACGACTTATCCTTGCGCTCAAACAGCAAGTTAATGAGACTATGAATTACCACGAATTGAAACGGGCCATCGACAACGACGACGGCAATGACGAACAAAAGAGGCCGATGGGGCAGTGTGCACAAACAGTCGTGGCAGTGCGATCAGCAAGGTTTACTGCAAGGTACACCCGTCCCCCATGTGACCACGTTGGACTCTGGGGATCGGGAGGACTGGGTATGACGGCATGACGTCATTGTACTAGCTGGTTGGCACACGCGATGGATCGCGTGATGGTGGGGTAGCGATAGCAAAGAGAAAAAGAAGACACGTATATTTGGATAGCTGTTGAAATGAGAGTTGTGCTTGCAGTTTCGTCTTTAAAATGTGTGCTCGAATGCAGATTCACTATGCGTATGTAGTTTTGTTGTTGTTGCTGTTGTACTGATTAAGCTTGGATGCCATTTCAGCCACATCGCAGCGTATATCGGAGACCGCCTGCAATCATCAGGCCAGAACCTGCTAGGCGGTTGGATGGATCGTGGCGGTGTTGCGTGGCTTTCTGGATAAGTGTGTAATAGGCAGGTACCAGGTAAAGCTATGCTGGCATCGCATTGCTCGGTGAGGGGAGGGGGGAGACGATACGCCCTTGCCGCATTGTTTCAGCAAGAGCCGCAATGCAGCCCTGTGAAACCAAGAGGCTTACGTAGCAGATAGCCACTCTACTTGCTTTAGCCTGCAAGCTTCCCGGGCTGCGATGAAAGCTGCGTGAGGCTTGGCAATGACGTAGCGCTACCGGTCAAAGCTCAGAGCTGTGTTGTCGTGCAGCTAAATAGCCCCTCCATAGCTTCCCCTCCATCGTCACATTACCAGTACTCAACTTTACACTGCAATCCTCCTTCTCTCACTCACACACACACACACACTCACACAAATTAATCTCCGTACGATACCACACTTAATACCCACATCTACGACACAATGGCCCGCGGAAACTCCCCCCAGACCCAAGTCTTCTACAAGGGCAGCTCAGGCGACCAATTCACCATCTTTGTCGAGAGCGTAGAGGCGCTGCAGAAGTGGAAGGCTGACAGCAGCATTCCTATGGTTGAGGTTGTTGCTGGGTGGAAGGTCATGGTACCCGAGTAAGTTTGTCACAACACAACGTCCGAGCCCGTTCGCAAAGGGAGAGAGAGAGAGAGAATGTGTTTTCTGGGCGCCCCTAAATGGGGAAGAGAACATTTATTTTGCTGACGCATGAGAAACAGACACGGCAAGCAGGGTGTGCTCAACACGGCTTCCAAGCAGCAGCTAGAGAATGAGTTTGGTGCTGGCGCGAAGGAGGATGACATCTTCAAGAAGATCCTCCAGGAGGGTGACGTTCAGTCGAGCGAGGTATGTTAACTTGATTTGTTTCCGACACCATCGCATTCTCGAAAACATGGTCGCTAACTAGCCCGTCTTTTTCAAAAACAGAACTCTGAGCGCATCGGCATCACCAACGAGACTCAGGGCGGACGTCAAGCCCACTAAACGCCTCGATCATGTCTACAGCGTGACGATGAGCGAACGATCTTAGTCTTTCTTATGACTTTCGATATGATATCATGACTTGGGAAGGGGTGGATGGGGTTTAGCTAGTGAGCGAGAGCTGCTGGCTTGCAAGGAGGGATTGGGATGACACCTTTTCCTGCATCCTGCATGTTTGATAGGCATCTACAATGGAATAGAATGTCTATAATGAATTTCTGTCTGGCTGCGATGGTGATATGTGTACAATGTGACTTCCGGTGCCTTTGAGACGAGTCTACCGTATTAGTGAGTGACGGCTCGATGTTTGACCTGCTGGATGAGTCTGATGGTCGTCTCAGCTTGACAGAAAGCACCCCAAACAGAAAGGAATCTGTGTCATTATTGCGTGTCTCTTCTCTTTCATCCGAAAATTCTCCTGCGATCTCCCCTTGAGTAACATTTCCATCGATGTAAACCGCGCAGCTATAAAACAAAGCACCTAAGATACCCCTAGCAGCTTCTCGACTATGGGATTGTGTCGCTGTACCTTCTTTGAACCTCTTTTGCGCGGTGTGGACAGCTTCAGACCACCCCGCTCTTCTTTTGCGAGACGACAATACCCCGTGAAACCAGATGCCGTCCACTCTGGCGACTTTGCAAGCTCAATCCAGAAGGCCAGTGACAGACGGATAGTGCCCAAGTTAGGCTTTTCATAGATCATCTTAAGATCCTCAGGCCAGTGCCGAATTTCCGACTTCAATGCTGTATCAAACAATTTAGATTCCGCGTCACCGTCTGCAGGGATGCTAAACTCCGCCGGCAGGTGGTAATAATCGAGCCCAGCTTGATCGGGACACACACACAATGCCAAGAACCATTTCACCGGCCCCCCTGCGTACTTCGCACAAATCCAGCTAATCGGAATGAAGTACGACCTTGTGTAAGGAGTTCTCTGCTTCTCTTCGAGGAATGCTTCGTTCATTCGGATGAATCGCGAGAGGTCGCACGGGCCAGGGTTTGCGAAAAAGATGTAATTTTCCCTCTGATAGATGTCCTCAGTCCTCACTTCCCCGTGGCGCATCCGCAAGATCTCAGAGCTCACCGATGTTGATTGGTCGAGTCTCCAAAATCTGTTCTTGTGACTCAACAATGCGTGGCTCACGATTTGTAGAGAGCAAAAACAGAAGGCGCAGCAGTTGCATGTTCTCCACACTATTTCCTCCAGAGATGCTTGGTAGTTGACTCTGAGATCCCTACCTTCTCCGCATAGCGCTAGTAGGGAGAAAATGCGGTCGTGCGGGATTTCACACTCCTGCGCACACATCATGTCAAGGAGCCATATAAGGCTCTTGTTGTTGAACCAGTTTCTAGCTTTGCTCAGAAAAAGTGCCACTCGTGCGAGATGGTAGGGCACTTGAGCGAAGCTGATATGTGCTGGGAACGATCCTATTGCCAGCTCTTCTCCACCTGCCATCAGAATGAGTTTGCTTGCAGAAGCAACTTCCTGAGTGACCCACGCCCGAGTCCAGTATTCATGGGCATAGAATGCTTCCATGGCCGTTTGGTAACCATCCATGGAAGACTTGTTCGAGATTCCGTGCAAGAGGTCGACTATTTCAGGACTTGTTCCTAGCCAAGATATAACCCTCGCTTGTGAGTAAACCTCGCCCATCTGCTGCACCTGATGCGTTCTTTCTGCTAGATTCTTCTGATCGATACACATCGCATCGATCCAAAGCCACCCCAACTTCTTCTTTCTAGCGTGCTGTAAAAAGTGCCATAGGTTCTTCCGGACGAGGGCTATCCGGTCGTTGATCACGACTGGATAGCCCTTGTCAGGCTGGCCCCATACGTAGGAGAGGCAAGTATAGCCGTAGCCCACATCCGCGTCTATTAACTCGCATCGGACGTGCCCGCCAGATGATAAGCCCCGGTGTATATTAAGCAGGCGGATGGAGCGCCGGGAGAGATCGAGAGGGCTATATCTGAAGGGTCTATTCTTGGGGTTGATGTCACGAGCGGATAAGCGTACTTGGCCGTCAAGGAGTGGAGATGCATCGTAATCTGCCTCGGAATCCATCAGGTCCTGATGATCGAGGTGCTTTGCGCACCACACGTAAGGTATGCTGTGAGGTGGCAGAAGGGGGATGCCGGAATGAACAGATGGGCTGTAGGCAGCCCAGTATCAAAACGCCAATCGTATTCATCCTGTAAGCTGCCAAGGTTGCGCTGGCAGACAGCCGGAATGCGGGCAGAAGATGTAATTCGCACAGGGCTGATCACGTGAGTCGCACATGGAATCTAAGGTAACCACACCCAGAATTCACCTATGATTAACATATAAACGATGCATGACAGGGCTGCTGGAGTTTTTGCGCTGGAGGAGGCGCAAGGTTGCGATGACAGAGATGTGCGGAGGCTCTTGTGAAGGATAAGAATACTACGGAAGGCGCTACTGTATGCCGCTGAATTTCCCACGGCTGTTGATCCACTAATAATCCACCAGCTTTAATCCCCGGAACCAGAACTGCCTTGAGTACGAAAAGCCTGATCGCGAGAACTAGACATTCTTCAAAATGCCATCATTTAGGTCGTCTATCATGAGAAACATCCTTAGTCTCAGCCAGACCACATCATCGTGAGGTATTGCGGTTCGTCCCTTCGCACTGAATATGCGCATATCATCGGCTACGCATACCGAGACCAGTAACGCTAGATAGAGAGCGCATGCCGCTTACTGTGCTTCTTTGTTTTTCATCTCCACTATATCCACGCATGCATGCTGCGGGAAAGGGCCGAGCCATACTTAGGCACATGTCACGATTGTGCTAAGATCAATAAACGATAGATAGAAGGGTGGGGCGCACGTCGGACTCAGGTGACGTTTCCTTGGCTTGGTCAGGTGTGCTTTCCTTCACGAACCTTGGCGTGTTTTGACTTGGAGAAACAGGTGTAACGCACTGAGTAACAACACAGTCATTCATATTTTCTCACTTTCTACATCTTAGTCTTCAGGACATCCCATCTTTCTGCGAGTTTGATAGACTGCATGGTCCCAAGACTCGCCCAGGCGAGGAGCTGGCAGATGTATTTGGGCACTATCCATATTACTCATTGTGATAAACTAAAGCTGTTGGAATCTTAAGCCTGCTCGTCCAACATGGAGCGTGCGATGTTATCCTTCGTGGATGATGCAGACAAATATCCATATACATGTAAAGTGTAAAGTGCAACTCAGTTGATAGCAATTGTTAACCCCATCACAAGTACTGTAACTCTACTTGCTGTAGAAATGGTCACATCTTAAATTTGTACCTCGTCTTGTGCAATACATATCGTTGCCTTATCTTTCTTGTAACGCACGAAGTCCCTCACCGTCACTTCTGTGTAACACAACATCCAGTTGGTAGCTTAGCCCAGGTCCCCTCCTCACAGTTGTTTCCTATCGCTGAGATGAAGACAATGGATGCTCCACTGAGGTGTACCGTACATCGCGGAGGGGGTGCTACAAAACATAGATCTTGCTATGTTAAGGTTAAACAGCGCGCAAACACTGCGTTAGTTTATTAACACTACATTGATACTCTGATAACATTACTACAACACTATGCTAGGTGCAATACAGCGCCATCTCTGTGAGCAAAATCTCTCTCAGCGCGCTACGGTAGTTGCGAAGAACGCCCATTCGTAGGTTCTTTACCGATGAACTTCAACAACACTTATCGGGCTACGTGATAGGCGCATGCATGCCGAGATCTCCTGGAGGACATTGATGCCTCTTGTGCTCACTCGATGCACGCGAAAGACTATAAAGCATCTGGATTTTGTTGCCTTCTAGTTAGCATCAGCCTTCACTCCATCACTTCCACTCTCAAGTACGACTTCCCAAGTACTCTTTGACGACTATATTACTGTTATCACACTGCGGCGACTAAGATGCCAAATGAAACCCGCGATTTCGGTGACTTGAGGGTTACGCTTACCAAAGAATTCGACTGGAAGTATAGCGATTCTGAGACGGGCTCGACGAGGGACGGGTCTTTCTACCATGCAAAGTCCCAGGGCGACTTGCGTCCCTTGGGTTCTTTCTGCACTCCAAACTATGAAGCAGTTCACAACATAAGAGCAACGCTTTTGGTGGGCAATGCTTCCAACGGCTCCGGAAAGCCAGCCGTTGCTAGTCCCACTGGTTACACAAAGACGTGGTGGGACCGCGGTGCTGGGGGTAAACATGACGGCGCGATCTGGAGGCCCAGCGCACCCTCTGGTTACGTCGCACTGGGAGATATCTGCACGAATAGCTACAGTACTCCAAGCACATCCGCCATATGGTGCGTCCGATCGGACCTTGTCTTGCAATCCGACTTCGGTGCGGACAACGTCTGGAGCGATAGTTATTCTGAAGCCAAGATGGATGTCTCCGTTTGGCCGATTGTCAAACCCCAAATGAGCGTGGACGGCTCCGATAAGATTCCAGTTCTTACCTGTCTGTTCATTGCCAACTCGGGATACAGCAAGCCTGAATACAGTCGTGCCAAAGTCCTCGGACTGCCCGTTCCGAAGGATTTCAAACGCTTCAGCGCAGACCTGCCAGTATTCACCAAGGATAAGATTCCTCGTGAAGGAGACGTATTCGATGAGCTGGCGCAGTGCGCGGTCACATTGCCCTTCACTGCCTTCTTCCCCCCAACGGACAAGTCGTGTCTGAATCTGATATCTCATCCATTCATCACGCTCCAAAGACGTACTGCATGGTACGTTGAAGACGTGGCCAGGAACGCTGCCGACCAATCCGGGACTCACTCAACGAAAATCACCAAGGGCGTTTCTGCGTCCCAGTCGCAAGAAATGACGCACTCGGCTGGTGTGTCGATCACAAGCTCCTTCGGAATTAAGGCTATTGGCGGAGGCGTAGACGTCACCCTCAACTACCAATTCACGGCGTCGCAATCCTATTCGTCGAGTGAATACCAAGAGACTGAGAAAACGCATACCTTCAATATTGGGCCTCAAACGGTTCTCGTCCTTCTCACTGACCGTGTATGGATACAGGCTACCCGCAGTGATGGCTCTGCGACTCTACATCGAATTGGATACAACGCTACCGACGACTTGAGTAGGACTGAGATCAAGCTTAAGTAGAAGGAGCTTTCTGCTGCTATTTCCCAGTTGCTTGTGCTATTTTGTGCTGTATGCCAACCGTACGATTCAGTCGCTTAGTATCTGCTCATGTTATCCTTTACTGTATGCTAGCTACACAATCCATTCATTTAGTGTCTGCAACTTTAGTCTCACTCTTATTTGATCATCTTGGTCATGAACCCCGCACTCCTTGGACATTCCACTTGCACGTTTCATCATCTGAGGCTCAATTAGTGCCACCCACCATTTTGCTCTAGTGACCCTGGACTTGGTATTCCTATTTTCCCTTCCTATGAACCTCGCGCCGTAACACGCCACGGCACACAGATGATGTGCTTGCCGAAGGTTCCACCAAGATATTAACATGCATGCGACTATCGAGTGTTACAGATGGAATTCAAGCTTCCTCGTCGTGGTTTCTGGGAAGCGGCAGGTGGCTTGGCATCATCGGTGCTTGGTATTGGGAAAAACAAGCAATGTCGTAGATTGTCTTTTGAATTGTTAAGTTTCCCGGTGGTCTTCAAGGGCATTGCTATGAGTAGTGGACAAGACCGAAGGTGGTGGAATCCAGAGTGGCGTCTGGTCTGAGCCGTGTATGAAGAAGACGACAAGCGATATCTAGTGAACGCACATAGGACTCGCCTAACAAACCCGTGGTGTCAAGATTCTACAGAGGCGATGGCCCTTGTCAAGCCATGGCGTTATTTCAACGGCATTCATCGAGGTGCAGTGATAATGATGGGAAAATAGAGATCGCGGGATTGGTTTCCATGTTAGGAAATGCTGATTAGGAATTGAATGTTTTGTTAATGCTTCGTTTCTTGTTCTGGTCTTCGCGCTCGGATTCCGATAGGATTCTTGTCGCGTAAATTCTGGTAAGGGCCCGTGGACGAAGTAGCTGCTCGGTTGTTCAGAAACGGCGGCCAGACATGTCTTTCGTAGACTCGACGTTCTGATAATCTGGTGATGATGATTAGTATGGATAAAATTACGGTAATATGTGTAAACAATTGCGATACAACAGAGCTCAAGAGATCGGAGGGCCTATTCGAATGGAGAAGAATTGATAGCTTTAGATCTTGCGCCTGCCTAGGCAGGCGTGTCAGCATTCGCACTCGATGCCGCAGTTTACTTGGTGGGTATAATGAGGCACTTGTTTGTAGTTCGAGCAGAAAAGTCCATGGTGCTCGCGGCACCTGACGAACAGTGTAGATGCGGTTTCCAATAAATCAATGTAGATTGCCACAAGTGCCTAGCGTACCAACGCAGGGAAGAATCATGTCCATATTCGACCAAATACGGGAGGCGAGGGTCTTGGTGGAGTCGCGCGGCGAAGCTGCAACCGTAAAGATTCGCCTAGTGGAAGTCTAAGCAGTAGGAAGGACCGATGGAAAGATGGAGTTGTACCGAGGTTGAGCCTAAGAGTACTTTTTGACACTCAGCGACTCTTCAGATGGCGCAATGAAAAGGTTTACATGTACTGCTGTAGAAGCTGTCGGGCGCAGGGCGCAGCCGCTCGTGCAAGATTTTGCGCAGTGGTACAAACACCTTGCAACGACACAAACACGAGCTCACGACAACAGTACAACGCCCTAGAATTACCGGATTACGGTAGTTTGCAAGGCCCGGTAGATCGACAACGACCTGCATACCGCCATGAAGCCAATGGTCGAGCACCGGAAATTCCGATGCGAAACACTCAGTCATGGATACGAAGTTGCGTAGAAGCTGTAGAAGCTATCTAAAAAAGAAAAAAAAGTGTGAGTGCATAAAGTCGCAGTCTTGACGCAGGGCAAGGCGACGGCGTGCGAGGCTGAGAGAGAGACCATTTTGGCGGCGGGCCACAATTAGAATTCTTCCCAAGCTTCTCGGCCTTGTTCGCTTGCAACCTCGATACCTTCCCCGTACGCCGACAACGTCATTTGCATCGCTGCATCGCTCAAACTCCGCGACGCTCTGTTTCGCCGTGATACGAAGCCGTCATTACAGATGGGTGATCCCTGCATGCATGCATCGCTGGCATGACGGCGAAAGATAGAAGCCGCGGAGTGAGTGGTGGTTCAGTGTGCGACATGCTCAAGCGAGACATGGCAATTGGTACTAATGCGCATCCTACCTATGACACAGGTTAATACAAGAGACGGATAACCACATGGATGGGTGCAAGACAGCTGCCAGGTGTAGCGCACTGCTGCTGCGAAAGCCGGTTTCCTTGTCTTGATTCATGCCCTTCAACTCGCCCGCGACGGGGGCGTCGATCCCTCGTATCGGCCGGCATGTCACTTCAGCCCAGTAATAGGAAGTACTCTGCGCCACCAACAGCTTCAAGTCGGTTCGCGTTCCTGGCTGTATCAAAGGTTGACTGCGTTAGTTTCAGGTTCGCGTGGCTTCGCTAAAGCCACTGCGTGTGGCAACGGACCGGCGTGGTTGTGGGTTGGTACCACCTTCCATGGCAACCTTGAGGGGCGATATGGGGACGCGCTTTGGAACTAGCGCAAGGGACCGCTAAATTCGGTGACCTCACCGTGACCTGCCACTCACTCGGTAACTAGACGAACGGATTACGAGCAACCGAGGGGGCGTATGCATTGTGGAGATTGAAGTGTAATTGGAGGAATGGAGGAATGTTTGCTTTTTACGGTTGGACGCTCGTTCGGTGTATGTCAAGGATGAGAATGACAAGGCTTGGATGGCGTGCAAACGGCGTCCGCACAGAGTCGTGTGTGCGATCATCGTGCAGTCGGCCTTCCTCTCCCTTGTCTTTGATGTCCAGCTGTTGACTGTCTCCGTGACCTTGTTCTTTCTTACACTTTCACTTCACTTACCCTTACTTTGAGCAAGCTCCAATCGACATCCTGCATCACAACGTCGACCGAGTGCAAGGATCAATTGCGGCGTCAAGGCACCGCTTTTCACCGAGCAAGAGACCCATTCTGGAGGGAAAAAAAAGCGCATCATGCCTACACTCGTGTGGTTGCGCGCGGCGGCCGTCGTTGCTCTTGCGACACATGCTACTGCCCAGCAATGCTGTAGGTATACGCTATATCGTTGACGAACAACGACTAACTGAACAGACTACCCCAATGGCGATAGAGCGCCAGACACAGATAAGCCCTGCTCAACAGCAGAAGGTTCTGCCTGCTGTCCGGACAAGTGGGAGTGTCTCGACAATGGTCTTTGTCACTATCCTGCCGAAGACCTGTACGGCCGATACAGCTGTACAGACAAGACCTGGAAGTCGGAAGGATGTGCTTCGAACATGTGCACATATGGTAGGAGCATTGACTTGCTCAAAAAGAAAAACGTTGCTAATATGTAGCAGGTATGACAGTCGCTGGCGCCGAGTCGATAACACAGTGCGCCGATCACGACGACCAGTGGTGCTGCAACGCAGACAACACACACGTAAAATGCTGCCAGGAGTCACCGTCACCACGCCCTTTCTTCGCGCTACAAAACGGAAATGCATACGCGACAATTGGCTCCAATCAAGCGTCGACTAACCCCAACATCGCCACCATTACTGGCCTGGCGACGAGTGGCGGATCATCAGGAGGTGGAAATTCAGCATCGCAGACGTCGGCGCAACGGTCTTCGGCCGCTCCTTCCACTACGGACGATTCGGATTCGAAAACTGCAACGCCAGACTCGGTCACGACTACGCCTTTTAGCTCCGTTGCGACGAGCCTTTCCACAGGCAGCGCGGGAGTAGTCACCATTGAAAACACGGTCCTCGTCACCCCAGCAGCGACCGCCGGCTCCAGCAACGGCAATGCCGGTGGCGGCGGAAATGGAGACTCTGACGGCAGACCAAGCTCGAACCTAGGTCTTATCATCGGTTGCGCAGTCGGTATTCCCCTCGCACTCGCTCTAATCGGTATCATCTTCTGGCTCCTCCGCAAGCGCCGCCAACAAGCTGCCAACCCCTACAAGGAAGCTTCTGAAGTCGAAGGTGATAGCCCGCTCGTCGGCGGCGCAGCGGCAGCAAAACTTCACAAGAAAGAGACATACCGAAGCTCTCGACCCGCTACTGCAGAGATTGATGGCAACCCTGTTGGAGCCGGACGGCCAAGTCGCGTCTCTGAACTTCCTTCTGGCAATGGTTTCCAGCCAGGCCAAGGTGCCCCGTACGGACCTGATGCGGTTGGGATTGGTGGTGGCAATGGGGTTAGGAGTACATGGGACAGCCAACTACCTCAGTACTCGCCTGCACAAGCAGCCTTCAGCCACCCCGATGCTGCGGAGCTGCCTGATAACAGTGTACATCCTGTTCTCAATGAGAAGGGGCAGCCGTATCAAGCGTATAGGCCACCGCAACCCGTGGCTGAGCTGCCGTCTGTTGTGACGCCGCCTGAGGATCTGGAGAAGCAGATGCCGAGGCGGTAGGGAGATGAAGGTTTTGACTTTTCTAGGCAGGTGTTTTTTTTCTTTGGAGGGGCATCAAACATATACATGATATGGTTATTATAGGCTTTTTCTTTCTTTCTTTTTTCAAGGCATAAGGAAGATACCATGTACAAGAGTTTTGTGTATAATGAGGGGGTAGCGATGCCTTGATATTCAGGTTCAGATTGTGATGGGAAGACAGTGTTCTAATCTTGAAATGCGGAATTCATGTGACGGTGCAAAGACATTTCCGGTGGCTTGTAACGACGAGTGTATATCAAAGAATTGTGCTCACTTCACTTGGAGATGGACATGATCCCCAGAAAAGGTCGAATGCGAATGGGGGCAGGCGGTGTGTGGGGAAAAGGGCAGCGAGTCATATCCCTCGGCGGCATCGTCAGTCCTTGAGCCCTTGGACCCGGAGGAGCTACGGAGCTCCAAGATACCCAAGATAAAGCGTGTCGCAATCGCCGTTGTCGCCAACACGTACATTCTAGCACCCGTCCATTTTATCGTTATTGTTCCCGCAGTTTTCATCTTCTCCACTCACCATGATCCACCTCCCCGACGAGCTCATCCTCCACATAATCTCCTGTAGGTAGCACCCGTCCGTCCCCATCGCGCGCAGACCCCGCCCAGTCCTGACGCTCGCCCAGACCTCGAACCCGCCGAGCTCGTCAACCTCCAACACGTCTCCCGCGCCTTTCTTTCCCTCTCGCGCGACAACAATCTCTGGAAGTCTCTCTGCTTCTCCCATTCTGCCGCCGAGCGCCGTCGCCGCCGCCTCGACATCACGCCTCCCGACATCGACCCCCGACTCGCCGAGCTCATACGCGCCGCCGATACCCTCTCCAACACATTCGATACCTCGGTGCACGACACAGATGCGCCGAGCGCCGATGTACAGCAGCAGAGGAACGCAGGCAGGAGACGCCAGGCGCTGATCGCGAACTGGGATCCTAGTTATCCTGACGAGAGGGTGAATTGGTACGACGACTTTATTCAGAGACATGCCGAGCCAAGGCTGAGTTGGTTTCAAGATGCCGGGACCGAGGGGAGAGAGCACGGGGACATGAGGAGGGAGGCTACGGGCGCGGGTGTCTTGTTCGATCAGCATGGCCTGGCGGATAAGCTTGTCGCGCCCCTAGACGACGGCCGGATATGTATCTGGGACGCCTCTGCAGCCAGCGACCGCCAGGGAACCATGATTGCCAAGTCTGATATCGGGTTACTGGCGAACCGGGGCAGCGACCTGGACTACGACACGAGATTGGCGCAGAGCCACGCCATCATGACGGAAACGGGTGCGGTAGAGTGCGTGAGCATAGACAGCAAGCTGGCCAAAGGCTTCTTCGCTGTCAAGAACGAACTGGTCGAGACGGATCTGAATACGCTTCAAGTCGTCTCGCGCACGCCGTATCCGTTTCCCATTACCGCGCTGAGCGAAGCACATCACAGCACGCCCTTGACGATTGGAACAAACTGGACGCTGCATCTGCACGATAGTCGGAAACCGCCTGCGCCACCCTCCTCTTCGGTACGCTGCGAGCTCATTAGCGGCCCCGCAGATAACGACTTCTCGCGCCTCGATACCGGGGACCTACACGGCCATGTCAGCCTCTCCCAACCCGGCGCGCTGTCTATCCTCCATCTGCCCACGACGCGCGATTGGGACGGCAACGGCGATATCTGGGTCGCTGGCCGCTTCACCTCGATGCTAAACTTTGATCGGAGATATTTTCCCCGTCTGCGCGGTACCGTGCACTCGGGCGCGAGACTGTCCTGCCTTGCTGCCCTCCCTCACCCTTTTGTGCCGCATCATCTGCGTCTTGGCACCCCTTACGCCAATCCGGCGCTCCTCCACGACGTCAAATCTACAAGGGGGTTCACCTTAATCGCAGCGGGCGAGTACAAGGGTAAAGGTAGTCTGGAGCTGTACGGCCTGTCTGGCGAACCGGAGAGGAGTATTAATTCGAGCGATAGCCGTACAACAGCATTCGGGGGCCGCGGCGGTCGCTCAAAAGCATACTATCAGAACCGGCAGACGGCTAGTAGCTCCAAACTCTTGTCTGTGGCGCCACATGGGACGAGACTGGTTTTTGCAGATGGAAATGGAGGATTGAAGTGGGTGGAGAGGGATGGCTCGACGCCTGTGAGGCAGCTCAATATCAATGATTTTCAACAACGGTCAAAGGATGGTTCTGTTTCTACTCTGGAGCAGCAGCATGATCATGGTAACCTCGTAAACGCGACGCCAGATTCAGAGGCCAGCTGGGGCGACATTGTCCAGAAGATTCTTCCTACTACTACTACAACAACATCGTCGCAATACGCACCAGAGTCTTCCGAGTCGTTCTCTTCTTCTCTAGGCCTGAATAACCTGGTGTTATGGACGGGAGATGGTAGATTGGGGCTTTTGGGCTTTGGCAAGGAGCCGCCCATGGCGAGGGATGTTTTTGAGGATGCGTTGGAAGTACAGGGGGAGAGTATGGAGCAAGGAGGACAACACCAAGGGGACAAGGTTAGGGAGAGGCAGTATGGGGTGGAGATGAGGAGGGCGTTGGAGCAGCAGGCTAGGGAGTTGAGGTGGTTGAGGGGATATGGGCTTTAAGAGAGACGGGTTGGGTTGGGTTTTGGTGGCTTTGTGTGTGCGCTAGGCGATTTAGAAAGTTATGTAGTGTCGTGGAAGACGTTACTGAATATCTTTTCTCATGCCAGCTAAGATCATTCATTGCTTCACGCATCGCCGGTGTTTTGGAACGCTGCAGGCAGTACGTTACGATTGCTATGGATTTGCGCACCAAAGTCTGGAGTTGGTCACTCTACTCCCACTTTCTGATCCACTCGACCTACAGAATCATCAAATCACGGGAGATGAAGATTGGACTCAAGTTTGAGATTGGAAGACACTGCCACTTTAGAAGATGACACCCATCAGCGCAGTGCCTTTGGACTGAGAGATGAGTGAGTTCTAGCAAGAGAATGAAGCAACATCGAAAGCACCAAGAGGGACTAAAGTTGCCATTTACTGCGACTCACAATGGTACTGTACCGTTGCTGAGTACGTCGTGGGTACGAGAATACCCCATTCGGGCGATGAAATATTGCGACCTGCACTAATCAGAACTCATAGGCTAACTTTGGAATGAAACCAATTCGAACAGAAAAACACTCAGTATTAACCAAATATCGCTCGCTAACTAGTATTCATGCCAATAACCTCCATTGCGCCGCTCGTTGTGATGCACAACCGAGAGAGAAGCTAGAGAGGTCCTCTCTCCAAAGCCCCTAGTGTATCTCGCACGCTTCCATCAGACGACTCCTCCTTCTCTTCCATCTTCTTCTCCTCAGCTTTCGGCGCTGGTGGCGGTGGCGGAATCTGCGCGACCCAAAACTTGGGATATTGCCGCTGAATGTTGTTGCCCATGACTGCCGTAACGAGCACGACCGTCGAGGACAGTAGCAAGACGGGCAGGAAGTACCACCGCAGCGCCCAGATGTGCTGGTCCACACACGGCATAAGTGCTGTTGCTCCAGCAGGTGGGTGGGTCGTCTTGGTCAGATGCATAACAACGAGAGCAATTGCTGTCGCCAAAGCAGCTGCGAGCCATTGCAGTCGTGGATAGGGATCTTTCTCCAGATCGAACTGGAAGATGGTTGCTACGATGACACCAACCAAGCCACTGAAGAAGTGGCCAAAAACCAGAGAGCGTGGTTGCGAGAAAGGCACATCGATAGCGCCATAGCAGAGGATTGCCGAAGCGCCCTGAAATGAATGTTAGTTTATCGATTGGAGTTGACGCTTTTTTTTTTTGAAAACGAAGAGAAAACTTACGAAGGAAGCAATAATCGGTGGTACAGCGCGACTCCTCATATAATCCGTATGACCAAAGATGGCGAGAATGACACTAAGCCCACAAAAGGCGCCTATGAACCCCCAGACACAAACAACCCATGTGCGAGAGGGCGGTTCTGTCTTGTGTCGGTAGCCAAGCCAGTGGCTGACGGGTACTGGAAGACGTGCAAGCCCGCGCTGTATACCGCGCTCAACGGGAACAAGGGGATCCCATATCGGCATTGTGAAGGCGGAAGATGCCTAGCACATACACAAGCGCCAGCAACTACGATAGACACTCAAGAGAAGAGTACAGGTCGAAACAGTCTCGTCGATGACAGGTGCTCGTCAGATTCAGGACGTGGTAACGGTCGTAGTGTTAAGAAACGAAGATGTGGAAGAGGAGAAAGCTTGATGAGAGCATGGACTTCAAACCTAGAGTAGGGAATAACGACCGGTTGGGACGTCACCACTATTACATATCGAGCTTGGATCATGCACCCCGGACTGATGGCGCGTGCCGATTTAGTGCTACTAATGACCGCGGCATCTCGTCGAGGTTTGAAGAACTTTGCTGATTCCAACACACAAGTTCCTGTATAACGTCGATGCACGGACAAGCCTGAGATGGAAATAACGCACCTCTTACCGTCATCTGCCTCAAGAACAAAAAGCTTCACATGAAAAGGAGAGGACGCAGAAATTGCTTAGTGACCGCGCAAATGGAAGCTTTTGCAAGGTGCTGACGATGATTTGCAAGATGCGGAGAGTGAGTTACGCTAAAAGTTTTCCTTACCTAACAAGCCGAGTTTCTGCAGAGCTTCGCACGAATATCGCCGAAGTGCGGCATCACCAACTCTTTACGCCTCGCAACGTGAGAAAGTCATTCATTCGGTTCGAGATTGATAGTATTAAGGGGGTAATGTATACCGTCGCATAATGCAAAGAGGCAGTCTATGCCCGTGTATGTTCGTCAAGTCCGTAGAGTTGATAAAACGACTCTCAACAACGCCCACAACGCCACGCTAAAGCCCAGATATTCGGCATGCATTCGAGATGAAAATCGTAAACGTCGTCGCGATCAGACAGCCTGCCAGGTATTGCTGTTTGGATCTTTTGGCAAGCTTGAGTTGGAGCCTTTGGTACCGAGTACAGTAGCCAATGAATCCACTCTAACATTTCCTTTTACTTTCGCACTGTCCGCATCATCATCATCATTGTTCATGTCCTCGATATTGTCCTTGACAGTCGGCAAGCTCATGTCAGCCACAAAGCTCGGCTTGGTAAGCTGATGCTCTTTCAATATACCCATCTTCTTCAACCAATTCTCAGCCGGACTCTTGAGCCAGGGAAGCGACGTAGCGATGATGCCAATCTCCTCCTCCAGCTTGGCCCACATTGAAGGCACGATGGTAGCCTGCATCACGTCACCTTGGCCGAAAGACGTGAACGTTGTCATCTTGGCGCAGTTAATTGCAGTTGCGAGAAGACCGAGGGCCATTAGGACGCCGATGAGCATCTTCTCTGATTGAGAGCGATTCAGGGTACGAATCAAGCGGATTGGCATGAGGGAAAGAGTAAGATCCATAGCGATATAAACACCTAGCAGAACGGTTAAGCGGGCTCATTAACGGTAGCATGGACGGACTTCTTACCAGCTATAACCCATCCCAAGAGAATGATGGGATCCAGGTTCCAGCATTTGGAAGAGATACCAGTATCCCAGTTGGAGCTGATGGGCGTGCACTGCGCAAACTGAATCACAAAGTAGCCCCAGGAGATGACCGTCTGGAGACCCATGATGAAGTACAATGGCCATCGCCACAGCCTTTCCGTCCCAAAGCGCAGTAGCGAGCACGCGACAGACAGTCGAACGAGCCATAGCGTCAGGAGCCACACGGTCTGGAGCGCAAATTGGACCCTTAGTGTCTGCTTGAGTGTCTCGGGTGTGAAGAATGCTGCTGGTTTACCCCATCCGTATGCGGTTGACGCGATGGCCAAACATATGCCGACCAACGACATTGGCTCCGCGACCACGATGATCCAGTCATCGAGATATAGCTGTCCGGTCCTCTTTACTCGTGTGTAGATACGCGCGATGACCAGGAAAAGTGCAACGACTCCAAAGGAAATGACGGGTCCAAGGTAAATGGCGGCTTTGTTGGAATAAGGCGGCGCGGCCATGGAGCTGGACATTGTTGGCGTGTAGTTGGTTGTCAACTCGAGGCGGGAAGAAAGGTATGTGGGCGTCCGGGGTATCGTAACCGTCTTACACACTATGTGCGTTCAATTGTCATGGGCTTTGGAGAATTACTCAGGGATTCCTCGCAAGGCCTATGGGTACTAGAACAACACAGCCGTCGACCAAACTGTAGTTGCACTCCGCGGATTGACGAAACGAGAAATGGAACGGGAAGAAGAAAGAGAGAGAGAGAGAGAGAGTCTCGACGCACTGTGCCTGGGTCAATGAAGAAACTCGAACTTTATCACATCGGAATCCGGCCCATCGACGCTATATACGGGAGGCTGCAAGCGTCGTACATCCCGCCATCTGACAGGCGGGCCATGGGACTGAGGAGGCGTCCGGCCGTATGCCCTTTTGAAGGTACCATTTACCACCTGCAGGTACACAAGGTTCAAAGTTCAAACCTTGGATCCTTTGGCGCGGAGACGAGCTTGCGCAATGCAGATTCAGTGGGGAGGGAACCGTTGCTTTGACACGCAAATGGCCTCTCGGGCATCCATCTCCAAGTGCAGTTGCGGATGAGCCGTTTTCCACGCGAGTGTTAGGCCGGTTTTGGTCTAGAGGCTTCGCTCTGCTGGGTATACTGAGGCAATCGCAAGCGGGTAGTCGCGTGGCATGATTCACGAACCCGGAGCAGCTGAAGCAATGGCTTCGTTTCGCTGGGTTGGCATCGTTCCCCCCTGAATTGTCAGCTCCGCGAGCACATTTGTGCTCTGCATGCACGTCAACGGCGAATGTTACAGAGCCATTTCCCCCGGATTTTGGCCCGTCGTTACGACTCCAGGGACCAGATGAGTGGAAAAAAACAAAAAGCGAAGAATACCTACTGCATTGCCACATGCCACAGCCGACTGCTGTGTGTATATATTGCAGCTGCAATAAGGATGCACATCTCGTAACAAGAGATTTGCCACTCAATTCTTCACTTCGCTTCGCACTTCCGACCAATCGGTTTAAGAAGCATTGCCGTCTAGGCCTGGTCCAGCGGCAGTACGTGCTTACCGTGTCCGCGCGCGCGCCCATGGTGTGATCTGAGGATTTGCAGTTGAGCGCGATCATTGGTGGCATTTAGCGGCCTGAGTCGCGATAGCATCCATGAGGATGGAGAGTTCAGGTACGAGTCAACGGTGGTGGGGTGATTGCATTGCGCAAGACAAAGGGATGCTGGTTGTTGGGAGTGCAGGAACGCCGAAAGATTGGATGGGGCGACGGGCGGAAGAGGGCGGATCACGAGAAATTGGTTACCTTGTTGACTCGTGGCGATAGTTCAGGCAAACCGTTTGGCACAAACGTAAGGATTCAAAGTATGGTAACATCCACAAGTTCTGCATTGTAGGACCAAGAGTCCCGACTGCGCCCTACTTGTTGCATGCTGTAGGGCCATTGGCGTTCACACTACGTATCGTCTGTAACGCGCCAGCTGAGCCACTGCATGAGAGATTACAGATGGAAGAATGTAAGCCCAACTTCGGGCCTTCTTCTGCGAACTTCAACTCTCGAGAAGGATTTACAGGCTAGGTGTCCGATGTGTATGAAGAGGCTCCGCGAGACGCTATTGGTCTATGACATCATGCCCCTCACTCTAGCGCGACTACACAACTTGCATTGAAACTCTATCGCAACATGGCAACCCGAACATCGATTACAAACCATATCCTAAACTCCATCTTTCTCTATCTACCGAAATCCGTCCTGAAGGATCTGCCATGGTTCAATGTCCAGAGTGTGACGCAGGGGCTGACTTGACGAAGGACGGTGCTTGGGCGCATTGCGCTTCCTGTATGTCATGTGCACTTTACGTTGATGGCTATCCATTCTGAATTAGCGCCAGGTAACACGGTTTTTGAGCCAGGAAAAGAAGGTAGTCATTACAAGGGCAGTGGCAGCGGCTCCGGCGACAAAGAGGAAGAGAAGAAGAGCGACTCCAAGGATGAGAATGTGAAGAAGGATTGAGTCTACCAGGGATGAATTTGACGTCGAGTGCTGAGAGACGCTGCGAGATGTGTATGTATTGTCGCTGAGTGTTGATACGGAGTTGTCTTCGCAGGCCGAATGTGCCGCAACGTATTCCAGTTAGCTGATATGTTTGACAGGCCTTGAAACTTTTGTACAACAATATCTCACTATGTGTCTAATCACTTTTCATGTTCAACTTCATTAGTTGTAGATCCCACTTATTGTACGCAGTGCCGCCCGCGTCAACGGAAGCGATGCCGGGGTGATACTCGAACATCACATCGAATTCACTTCAACTCGGATATGATATGGCTGGAATTAAGAATTGTGAATACCTCATTACCCTAATAATGTCTATCTATATGAAGCGAAATATATAAAGGCATCCAAAACATTGTTGGCTTGCAAAACTTTTCTTCATCATTACAACCACCATCTAACCCGAACCCAATTACTCCTAGAAGCAAAACCTGTGGCCGTTACCGTCAAGTATGTCATCCACCTATGCCTGCTCTACCCACACAGTCCTGGCTACACTGGGCACACCCTCCGCGCTGACAGCGAACAGGTACCACGCTCCCGGTAGCACGACACCGGAATCGTTCATGATGGGCAAGACGACTTCTTCCCCTTCGATCCTTGGCTGAAGCGGAATGCGTCTCTGATCACTGTTCACGTTGTGTGTAACACTTCCTATTCTGATGAAAGAGAACGTCACGCCATCGGCTGAACCTTGCATCTTGACTCTTAGCTCGCCGCCGTGCGTGACGATGCTCGATGCAACGTCCTGAATGATTGGACGAGGAGCGCCGGTGAGAAGGTACGGTGGTGTGAAGATCTGGCCGTTGGGGTGATCGACCGTGTCGCGGCAGTGGTAGGACGGTCCTCCAGTTCCATCGTCCCAGCAGAGACCTCCTCCTCCGCTGAAGACAGTGCCGTCAGGTAGCAAGATGGAAACAGAGTGGTAGTTTCGGGGAATGGCTTCAGCAGCCAGCTCAGTAAATGTCTTGGTATTGGGGTCGAACATCTCGGCAGTGAAGACGGGATCGATGTCAGTGAAGCCTTTAGCCCAGCGCTGTCCACCAGTAACCAAGATCTTGCCATCGGGAAGGACAACGACATTAGCAAAGGCGCGTTGCTGGTGCATGTCGGGGATCCTTTCGGCGGTTACAGGGGCGCCAACATTGTTGATCTCCATCAAATGCGCGACAGCGAGTCCGGGCGCTTCATCGTAGTACTGCGCTCCGCCAGCAGTGAAAATTTTGCCAACATCGTACATGACGTGAACACCACACATGGCATCGTTGACATCGTCACGAATGCCTGCTGGGCTGACACCACCTTCGCCATCGGTGTAGTACCAGTTCATCGCCTTGCTGGGCCCAGCCTGGAAGATGGTGCCATTGCGCCAAGGGAAGAGCCAGGCGTGGTTATCCTCGCGAAAGATGCCCTCGTGGTCATATGTCAACATCGGCTCCACAGCAGCGCCAGGTAGAAGCGTCCACGAGTTTGATGCCGGGTCGTAAATCTCTCCTGGCTTTCCACCTCGTGGGCCACTCCACGATCCACCAATTGTGAAGACCTTTCCATTAGACAGGACGGCACTGCTCTGGTATCCGCGAGGTACCTTCATATCCGGTCCGGGGACGAACGTGTTGGTTTCCGGCTGGTATATAGTCGTCTTCTCAGCGTTGCTTCCTCCGGTGATGATCAGTCTTCCATCGCCTAACTGACTCATTCCAGGACAGAACATGTCGTGGTTGGTTTCGGAGACCTGGCGAGTGGACATTTGCCCGGATACCAGGTTGTATTCGGCGAACTGGGTGATACCTCGTTCACCTCCGAATGAATTCGGCGAGAACGCAGAGTATACCATCATACGAGTGGGAGATGGCCATTCCGGGACGATGTAGGCCGCAACCGGAATGATGGGAAAGTTGATGACCGGACCCCATGATCCTTGGCTCGGAGTGAATGCTCCTCCTTGGTCCTGAGCGAATGTGATTGAGAAGAAGAATGGCAGAAGCACAGCCGCTACCTTTGAGTGGGAAACCATTATGAATTAACTTATTAACACGCACTGTAGATGCAAGAAGATGAAGACGATAGCGACTGTGGATAGGCGGTGCTCTTGTCCGAAGATGTCCATGGCGTGTTTGTTTTATACTCTGGTGCTGGGACGGTGGCAGGCACGTTGCTTTTCCCGCACCTCCATCTCCGAATCGCGAATCTAGAATTGTAGTCGCCAATGTTGTTGAGCACGTTCCCATTGGTAGTCGATCCCAATCAATACCGAGCCGATACCAGGTAGACAACCTAAGAGCTACATCACGAGCTGGGCTCATGCTCTTGGAGTAGTGCTATACTCATAACGTTACCCCGGCGACACTACAGCCGGTCAATGGTCCACGATTAGCTCTCGGCATCTGCAGGTGTGGTAGTTCTTAGTCTGCAAGAGAACGTTAACGCATTCGTACGTGTCTCGTGAGATGGTTTAGATCGATCCGTCAGGTAAGCTTTACGAGAAGAGGTTCGCGTGAGATAGGGCTGAGAAGTTGAACAGCCGCGATCCGTCTTGGTCGCACAGAGACGCGACTTGGCCTGAGCGCGGCGCACAAATAGTTTATCGATTGCTGTTGGCCGTTGCGGGGTGATACGAACATTGCATCTTGATGATATTTGTCCGATGCAGGGGGACGATTATGTCAAGATCTCACGATGCATGCGTTGAAGTTTGTGCGCAAGAATGAATCTTGGGAGAAGAACTGACAGCCCGGTATGAATGACGTGCAGCACTGATAAGCTGGCGAGTCAGTGCGTAAACAAGCTCCTCGGCAACCACTCTTAGCGTGACTCAAACCACAGAACACCCTGCACAGTCACACCGAACCATCGTATTTTTAGTTCGCTATCGAGATCGCACGCGTATCATCACCTATGAATTATCAGGATACGCATGATAATGCGACGACCGCTGTCAGTCCAAGCAGAAGAAGCATACCACTTTCCCAGCCTCCGTTACCTAGGTATTCGCGATGTCACCTACACCGCTGCTTTCACTGAGGCTTCAACCACTTTGTGATCTTTGCCTTTAACGCCTCTTCTGCAGCCGGCCATCCATGCCCCAGCCTCCGGCAAAACGCATGCGCATCAACACGTCTAAACTCTGGCATATCGTGCAGCAGCGCCTCAACAACATCGATCCACTCAGCATCCTTATCCAGTGCAGCTGATACCAGTTGATACATGGGCGACTTGCGCGTGTACTTCGCGTCCGAAGACTTGCAAACTTCTTCCATAGCTTGGGCGTACAATTCTCGGTAGCGATCCAGCGACCAGGACAGATGTGGCAGCCGTGATATATCATAGTTTGGGAGCCAGTCGCGTCGGAGAAACGTGGGCATTGAAGCATAACCAAGGCAGTGTGGCACGGCTGCGCACCCGTCCCAGTCAACTATACCAGTAACGTTGCCATCTTCGTCTACCAGGATGTTCTGGAGATCGAGATCGACGTGCCGAAGGACAAATGTTTCGCGTATTGGTACGCCGTTGCTAACGTCTTCGCTTTGGGTTTGCTTACTATGCGATGACTCTGTTGTTGCAAAGGGAGCCGACGACATCACCATTCTCATCACTATCCAAACACCAATCTTCGCCACGTCGTGGGTACCAGATGAGCTGCGCTCCGCACTATTCACCCTATCTATGCCAGCAGTGAAGAAGGCTTCGCTGGTATCGAATGACCCTTCAGATGCAAGCTTGTCCATGACAGTCTTTGTATGCCATCGCCAAAATGGACCAATGTAACTCGGCAGCTTATCTTTCGGGTCGAAGAAGGCAGGCATACCAGTATACTTAAACTCCAGCGGCGCAAGTTCGCTCATAGCTCGCGCAAGAGAGCGCAGGAACGTAATGCGCTTCTGTTCCAACTCCGGTAAAGGATCGTCGGCATTTAGGTGTACTTTTGTGCTGATCGTCGTCTTGTAGGGCTGACCGATCCACATGTCCATTGCAGAGATGCCGTCCATTTTCTTCATGAGAATGTATGGTGCGCCTATCGCATTCTCGAGACTCCCATCATATGCGATAACCTCTGGCACTGGGCAGTTTGTGTGATGCCAGATGTGTTGCATCAGCTGAGCCTCACTCTTCAGAGCCACGTTATCGTTGATCTGCCATTCGCCTCGCGTGCCATGTGCAGGAATTTTGAGAACGTACTCTTGCGTGACTTGGTGACTGTCCTCGATCATCAAGAACACTGCATGGTGAAAAGATCCCTCTTTTCGTTGCATGACGCGACAGCTGCTAAAGGGAAGTTCTTCTTTCAGATCGATAAGATAGAGTACCAAGCGTTCTAGAGCAGTGCGAGATATACCCCGAATGTCTTTGAAGTGCCGACGGTCATACTTATCCCCTGATGGTTTGCCGTCATTGCTATAAGCGTCTTCTCCAACCTCAGCCACTGTACTGCGACTCCTTCTGGAAACTAGATGGGGCAGTCGGAAGTTGCGATCGACATTAGGATTTGGATCTTCTGCGGAAGACGCGCTGATATACGATGTTAATCGTCTTGAGAATACGTTTGATGTTGTTAGAGCTACCTTCGTCTCTTCGGCTGCTTCTTGATCACATGCATGAGCCAGTGGCAAGGATAACGAGGTAATCGAAGCCCTCGGCGTCGCCCCGAAACGTGAACTTAGCATTCTTCTCACCCCCGTCACCGATGACCGAGCGCCTTTGTTGTTTGACGAAACCTTAGTTTCTGTTGGTTTTAGAGACCTCAGAGACCACCGCTCGGGTCGCAGCAAGCTTTTCCATCTCGATGGTTTCTTCGATACAGCCGGTGTGGCACTGGTCGAAGACATGGTATGTATGTGCACGTAACCGTAGTTGAGCACTTGATCGTGGTTGAGAATGTAGAAGTAGGCGATGAATGGTCTACCAACTGTGGCTTATGTCTGTACATCCCTAAGACAGTGAAAGACTAGCAGCAATCGAGACTCATGAATCATGATTCGGCTCAGCGGGTCATAAGGAAGAGACAATGTCTTTCAATCGGGTGAATGAGTAGGCACACATGTTCGTTACCAAAGTCACGCGTCCTTAGACAGAAAGGGTCGTGATAGCCTTGTGTTCATTTGGTGTGGCGCTAGTGCATCGCCGTTGAACCGTAGTTGAAAAGAGTTCACTAACTGGTGGTAGAGAGCAAACTGTGCGAAGGGAGCTTCAACTTCGGGTACTCAAAGTAGGTCGCTTGCGATCATCTTGTCTGAAGTGCTGTCTGTTTCTGCGCTCTAACTTCTACTAAACACATGTCCCCCACTCTTAGAGCTTAGCACAATACGTCTGCACCGGCACAATGCCCCCACTCCTATCCGGCGGATCCCTCATTGCAACCTCCCTCGTCCTCGCCAGACTCTCCAACTCATCCAGCCTATTCAGCGTCGCTTTCAAATGTTCCTCAAAGCCTGGCTGTTGAACGACTTCCCTGAAGGCATTCTGCATGGGTACGGAATCCGCTCTCACCATACCATGTGCATCGATATGAATAACATTGATATGGTCAAAGGGGTGCACGAAATCTGCGCGCGTGATGATTTGACGGGCCTCGTGCAGCGGGATCTGAGGAAGGCAGAATTGATCTGGATCAGATGTCGATGTGTCTTGTTCGCGGAGGACGAGGGCGCGGGCTAGCACGATGGCGGCGGCGCAATACTTTTGTTGTTCCTCGACGTCGTCATCCATGGAGTCACCCAGGATCCAACAATTGTTCAGAAACCACATCTTCTCTCTCCGGTTGATCTGCTTGCAGGTTTCAAGCATATCTTTTGACTTGGCGACTTGGTTTAGGAAGATGAGGCGGCCACCGACCTTGGCGAAGACTTCGTCTAGGATGCTTTGTGGGACGTCTTCGTTGTGGTAGCGGGCTCGGTACTGTTTTAGTGCTGTTGTGACGACGTTCTTCCGCACGTCTCTGACGCTGATGACGTTCATGTTGGTTGCGTGTGGTGTCAGGCGCTCTAGGGTCCAGAATTCGTCAGAGGTGAATACAGTTGTAACAAGTTCGTTGCCTGCCCATATTTCGGCGCGCTGCTGGAGTATCTCCAGAAGATGTTTTCCGGCTTCGTCGTCTTTGAACAGGTGGATGTTGTTGATGATCATGAGGAGAGGTTTGCCGCGTCGTTTCCTCAGCGACAAGGCTACCTTTTCCATCTGATTGAGTGCCCTCTCAATGTCTAGTAGAGGCGAGCTGTCTCTTGGTCCGCGGATACTGAACAGTCCACCGATGTAGTCTTCGTGAAATTCGTAGTCGATGGCCTTGCCGAGCCGGGTTCGAAAGACCTCGAGATCGTTGTGCGCTTCCAGCATAGCGATGCCGTCGCCGTTGACCTTCCGCATGGCCTCTAGCAGCAGTGCTCGCTTGCCGGTACCTCTCTCGCCGATGACCAGGTAGTATCTTCCCCTAGCTTTTCCGCTGACGACATTATCGATGTCTTCTTGTTCCGCCCGTGGAACCCAGTATTCCCTCTCTACAATCTCTTGAATCTTGTCGGGCTCGGTGCCGTACGAGATGCGACCCAACACAACACGCTCTTGCGAGCTATATCCTGTCGCAAAGGCATTCTCAATCTTCTTCGCAACCGTTCTTTTGTAGAATAGGCTGTAGGCATAGCCGCCGAGGCCTAGCCCGAAGAGTGATATCAGAGCTACCGTGCTTCCTTCAAGCACACTCCGCGCAAATTTGCTTCTCTCCTGCTTGTCTCCATCATTTGTATTGCTTCTTTGCGACTTGGCTGATTGAGCGTCGTGATTCGGGCTATGTAAGAGGAGGGGCGTGCGTTGAAAGCGAGCGGGGTGTCTGCCGAGGGGTAGGACGAGCCATGCTGCGATTGTCAGTCGTGCGAGATTCTAAAGGTTACTTGAGATAGCATACCTCGTCTGGCACTTTGTATAGAGCGCCTCATTCGTTTTGTACGAGGAATGAACCGATGAACGTATGTTCAACAAGGTTACGCGTCATGTAGGTCGAAGCACGAACACGTCTCGGCCAAGCCATTGACCGCGTGCCGTATAGCCGGGTATCTTCATCGGATATAATAACGATATGTAATATATTTATCTATGGCTAACGCGGGCGCCATTGTCATCGTCACAAGGCTGAGCTTCACAGGCAAGCAAATGTGATGAAGGACGCGACGGATTTGGTGGTAGCGCGCCACTCCAAGAGCCAGGGTTCGCGCTACGGCAGTCTATCATCGCTGCGACCTATCCCCAACTACAACATACGCCCAGACGGCCACGATAGGGCTTGACCTCATCCGCCCTGATGTGAGACCTGGCAACATCTTGAGAGTGATAATCGGCTGTCTCTATCTACAAGTACCAGTCGCGATGGTCGCACATAGACCAGATCCGCTCTTCATTGAGCGCCCAAGGCTGAGAGAAACGATTTCAGCCTTGCATGCTTACGGGCTTGAGGCAGCATCTCACCGATCACAGGCTGAAGAGTTATGTATACGAATGTGCCGCTACAGCCAGGTTTATCGCCCATACATTCACTTAACAGTCCAGCATTAGCACGCTCGAAACCGTTTCGACGATCCGCTCAGTCTTCGCGAGATTGAAACCACGTGGCGACTCGTCTGCCTCCCAGTCTGTCGATTTGCTAGATGCCACAAACCCCAGTTCAAATACCTCTGATGAGCTGTGCGACTTCTGCCGTAATTTGTCCATAGAGACACTTTGTCACCCGAGAAGTTTAGAGTTAGGAATCAGAAGGTTAGAGTTAGAATGGGAAAGGTTAGAGTTAGAATGGGAAGGAGGGCATATCGACGATAGTGAATCTGAAGATGACGTAGGAAGCGATCTTTCTGACGAACTTCGTCGCCATGGAGGATTCCAAAGGCTCAAGTTATACGAACTCGCCACTGACTGCAGGTTCTGCCAACTGCTTCGGTCGCTCCTCCAACCTACAGGGATAACGGATTTCGAGTATATTACCTTGTGGGGAGAGCCCTATGGTTTGGGATGGCTTCCACTTCACGAAGGACATGCTCCAGGCCTGCGTGAAAGTGCTAAAGCTCTATCGCATATAGGACAGCAAGGCGCACGGTATGTCATGCGTAATTCACCAAAGATCTCTTCATTCCTTGAGCGTTATGATCCTATCAGCCGAATATGCATAAGTGTCAGACTGGGAAAACATCATCCAAAACGCAGCAACCCTTCATTTGCCAATCTCGACGCTGCGTTCCGAAAGAGAAGGTTGTACCTGAAAGTTTTCACACCTCCTGGTAAATCTTTCGTGAGCAGTCAGCCTCCTACATCGCTGACCATTCTCCAGAAGAGCCAGGCGGCCTTGATGCTTACATCGCCGGCCGACCAACACACCCAAGCGGCTCCGCTAAGACTGCGCGGTTGATCAAAAGCTGGCTGGGAAGCTGCCTAAAGAACCATCCAGAATGCCGCCTCGACTTGATGGGACATGCGCTCGAAGTTCGGCGAGGGCACACGCCGCTTCCAACACGACTCATCGATGTCGGCACCGGGTCGTCTTTATCGACACCAAGGTTGATTACAACAAGTCACGGCCAGGAGGGCCAATATGTTGCCTTAAGCTACTGCTGGGGGCAAGGAAGACCGTTGAAGTTATTGAAGTCGAACATACTTGCGATGCATGACCGGATACCGGAAGAGCAGCTCCCACAAACCATACGTGAAGCCATTCAGCTGGTCCAAAACCTTGACTATCAGTATCTCTGGGTAGACTCGTTATGCATCATTCAAGACAGCCAGGAAACTGGTGGAGATTGGCAATGCGAAGCGCGACGTATGGGACAGTATTATAGCAATTCCATGCTTGTGATTGCCGCACTAGCATCCAATAGCTGTGACGATGGGCTCTTCAAATCGACCGGATCGGCCAATGTCGACCAATCGAACTCAACACTAGGATCCCAGGACTTCTCGACAACTTTGCCCTGTACTTTCAGAGGCCGCCAGCTGGGACTCATGACTGCCCGCCTGCCTCAGCAGACAGATTCAGTTTACGATTTTGAAGACGAGAAGCGCCAAAGCCCATGGTACAAACGTGCCTGGGTAGTCCAAGAGCGCTTCCTAGCCCGTAGAATAGTGTACTTCGGTACCCGTCAAGTGTACTGGGAATGCAGGGAAGACATCATCTCTGAAGACGGAGACATTCCCATAGCTCATAAGCAGCAAGCTTTCCCATGGTACTTTCAAAAAGTTGCCAACGACAAGGAGGGACTCAAGAGATGGAGTGCAAAGGGGGACTTCCACATCTCGCATAACGCCATCAATTTCAGGAGGATGTTAACAGTGGTGTCCAAGAGAGAGCTGAAAGTAATGCCATTGCTGATGCGAATGCCTGATACCAAACACCTCAAACGTGTCAAAAAGTCCGTTAGCGAAACTAAAGCACAATACGATATGATGGATTACAAGCTTGGCTTCGACGCCTGGACCTGGATGGTTGAGAATTATAGCTCTTGCGAATTGACCAACCTGGGAGATAAACTAATCGCAATTGAGGGTGTTGCTCAAGTGCTCTGTAAAGCTGTTGGCTCAACACATTACTTCGGACTTTGGCTGGAAGTTGTGGAGAAAGGGCTCCTCTGGAGGAGTATTGACCCACTTTCTAAGAAAGGTCTCGATCAAGGTGAGTAGCCCAATCCGATCCTGATATGCTAGAACTGACTTGAGACTTTTCACTCGTGATAGCACCCTCATGGAGCTGGGCTGCTTGGAATCAGCCAATCGAGTTTCCGTTTTCCTCCTTCGGCTATTCTAAGACGTTGAAAGAAGGATTTACTGTCTCCGAAATCCATCCGCGTCTTGAACTGAGGACTGACATTTGGTGCGACTTGGTCGTTAAGCAAGTGGCTGCTAGTATTCGCGAATGCGATCGATGTGCGAAGCACGTAATTGACGAGGAAGAGCATTTCTGCTGCAGAATCTGCAAGAACGTTGATTATTATTGTCTCTGCCTCCCGTGTACCGGGACGGGTGCTCGTTGTCCTGGGTCAGATTCCGGACATTGGATGATCAAACGCTCTTTCGAGGACGGACACTTAGTTGACAGCACCACCGAGCGTCTGGCCCCACGATCAATCGTAAAGAGGAAGCTGCTCAACTCAAAGAAAACCCCGAGCCTAAATGATACGACACGGCATTCGGAAAGAACAGAGACGGCGCAAGATCGAGATCAAACGTCTGCTCGGCTGGCCCATTCCAACAAGTATTACGGGCACGATGATCCTCAAGGAAGCGCGTACAAGAAAATGGCACTAGGTTACAGTCTCATTAGGCCGACTTGTAAAGAAGACTGCATTGATGCAAATGATGACTATCGTTACCGATGGATCTATCACGAAGACCTGATTGGGCCTATAGGTCTGGTGGAATTTGATCGAGTTTCCGATATTCCACAATCTGTTTGCTGCATATCAATGCAGTATGATCATTTAGACAAGAGAAACGGGATGCGTGAATCATTGCATGACAAAACACCTTACGAGGATCACTGTTCGAATGGTGATGAGGAGAGCGAGCACAGTGCTTCAACCGAAGAAGCAGTTCCCGAGCAGATGGAATCAGAGCAAGAAGAAGAGAACGAAGAAGAGAGCGAACAAAGTGTTGACACCGAAGCTGCTAATTTCTGGGAAGGACATGAGCTCAAAGAGATGGCAGAAGCTACAATCCCAGTTCTAGCCTGTGTAAAGAACAAGGCAGGAGACGCTTACCTGCGCATCGGAATTGGCGTTATGTTCAATCTAAAGAACGAGTTCTGGGCACCAGTCATAGAACATACCGGGTTCCCTGAAGAGGCCAAAGGATTTTCCGCAGATCTCGACATCACACTTGTATAATGAAGTTCGTAGCTAATAACCAGCCAATCATGTTCTTCAACCTAAGCTAGCTATCCACCTCTTTCACTAGCTTGCACTGATGTTCTACCTTAAATGTGCGAGTATTCACCATGTGGCGGAACTTCCATCGATAAGCCCTGGGCGATTCCGGGCCCAGGACCTTGTTGCCTGGCTGACTATAGAGCTATACAATCCTTCTTCCTTCCAGTATTACTAGCACCACCGCCTCGATCACCTTCCATACGACCGTTGAATATGACAACCGAACCGACCCCTACCTCTATCATGGCCACCCGAACGATCATTCCGCCTCTCGCTCGCGGCGACTCGAAGCCCATCGACGCGAATAAACCATTCATTATTCGCGACCTGCCAGCGGAAATCCGCAACCAAATCATAAGCTACTTGGTCGAGTACCCCACGCCAATGCGCATAAGCTGCAACAGTACCGAGTCCCGGCCATATCGCATCGATATACATGGTTTCCGTTTATGTCCGAAGTTACAGCTTCCAGTAAACCTCTTTGCATCGTGTCGGACATTGTATCGCGATGCAGGTTCTGCCTTCTACTCTAACCACACCTTCATCATTGACAGTAGATACTGTTCTTACAGCTGCCACCGGTACTCACCCATTATCAGACTACCGGGCGCTTTCTTCACGCGTATAGGCACGCAAGCGCAATGGCTTCGGAAGATCGAACTCGACCTGTGCCTTCTGACAAAATCAAAGCTTTATCGAAGCCTCGCACACCCTGACCGAGTTAAATATGGTGCACTCGAGCGATTCGAGATCACGCCTTTTCTGCGCGCGATCTGGGACTTGGATCTAAATGTCGACGTCTCTCTCGTCAACACTAGGTATTTTCCTCCTATCCATGGACTCACGGATTTGGACCTCAATGCCCCGTCTATGAGTGCTATCTTCAAGTCTATACTAGGAGGTCAGTTGGGGCTACGAAAGTATGGCCGGCTGCTGTACGTAGTTACTATATGCGGAGACGGTTCCGGAGGCGAGATCAGTTGGGGGACTACAAAACTTTGCTGCGATTCCCCCAATATGATGATTCGAGAATTACTTCCAGACATTATTCCAGATCTGCATCACATCTCTTCGTTTACCGCGAAAGATGGCGGAGCACGATTACGAGTGCACAAGCGGGAAAAGGCCCTGACCCTACTCGACCTGCCACAGCCGATACTCAGGGATATAATCAGACGGGTTGTGCATCCTATCGAAGGCTTCGTGATCCATTTGGATAAGGATACGAAATTCAACTGTGGTATCATCCACGTCAACAAGGATATCTATCACGCGTGGCGTGATTCCTTTCTCTTCGGCCATAGCAGTTTCGAGTTGGTCTTGACAACAAACTGTGTACACACTGATTTCGGGGGGTTCAAGAAGTTACGGAGAGTTCTGAGGAAGACTTTCGACTCTTCCCGTTATCCTCCTGATGATTCATCGCACCTGAGAACCCTGACCATTAGTGCGTTCAGACGGAATACGGTGAACTACACCCTCAAATTTGAGGTGCAAGGCCCTGTCTCATTGGGTGATGTCCGCATCAACATATTACCCTTTGTCATGGAGACGGCCATGTCAGATTCAAGTAATGGAAATGAACTCACGATTCAGGTTCAGAGTACAGGCTGCAACGGACCCTCCACCATGACTGCTTCGCATACGATGGGACTTCAAGAACTTCGCATCAACATCCTCACCGCCTTGATGAAGTCCTTCTACTTAGAAAAGGAAATGGAAATCGTACCTGATTGCTGGATCAATGGTTTTGGGCAAGTCGTGCAAGTCGTACAAGTCGAGGACGCCCACGATATTGCCGGCGAGGCATGGGAGTTCGCCTCACACCTTGTCGAAAATGACTGTAAGATAGACCATGGCTGTTGGGAAACCAGGAACTGCTTCGACGTTCTCGAATTGCACCCTCTCGACAGGCATTACCGACATGGGGATATCCATCCTGGCTGTAGCATCAGCGGCAAACAATTCTTTCCGTTTCAGCGAAATGCAAAGGAGGTCATGCGCTATCTTTTGCACAACATTGACGACCACGGGGTGTTTGACTCGTAAGTTTCTGCAATCGCACTTCTAAGCCTTAAGCTGACTTTGTCCACATTAGCGCCGTCCGACCGAAACACTTCAAGTGCGAGTGCGATGATTGTAATGATCAAACCGAGGACGATGAGGTTGGTTAGGAATGGTAGAAGTGACGAAGACAACCACCAATCCTAGACACTTACGGGATAGGAAAAAACACTGCCATTCGGGATATATCAAAGTGCCATTTTCGTACTTGATGATGAAAGATCAGATTTGAGACTCGCAGATCCGTAGTAGTATGTGACAGTGCGGGCTGGGCCTATATATATTGCAATTCGACAATCTGAACTACAAACATCCAGCACACATGCTGAAGTACACAATAACTACTATCCGTGATCCATACAACTAACACCGTGGAGTAAGGACGATAAAGCAAGCAAATTTCGTGTCAAAACCATCCCTGCTTAGGTAGTATCTTCCTATCATCGGTCCCAAACCCGCTTTAGACTCACGGCACCCTGCAACATTTCTGTTCCTTCATAGCGACTTACAGTGGGACCTCCAGCCCCAAAAGCTGTTGCCTAAAGTTCTCTTTCGCGCTTGTCGTTAATATGCACTCGGACTTACTCCAATCCTGTTTCTCACGAACATTCGCGACGCTAACCCAGCCCGGCCTAATCCAGGTAAAACGATCGACAGGGTCCACACGTGCGTCGCAACCCATGAGGCGACTCGGAAGGCCCAGATGTCCGCTCTCCAAGCCGTCTCATGACCATCACGGTATTTCCCATCTCAACCTTGCAAATATGTAGCCTCTTCGTCTATTCCTCGCCTTTGAGGCGTTTTGCTTTTGCTTTCTGCGTAAACAAAACTACACAAGTTTTTTTGCGACAACAATGGCGGCTTCGTCACCACGCTCATCGACGAGCTCGACAAGCAGCAGCAGCAGCACCACCTCCTCCTCGCGCTCCTACCCCGCCCCATCTGCAACGCCCTCACCAAGACGACAATCACCCCGCCCCCTCCTCTACAAACTCTACACCTCACACATACTGTCTACGTGGAATGCGCGCACTTTTGAATTCGGCGCTGTCATCTTCCTTGCGAAAATCTTCCCCGGAACGCTCTTCTTCGCAAGTTGCTATGCGCTTTTTCGCTCGCTTGCCGCTGCGCTCCTGGGTTCGTGGATAGGCGGGCAGGTCGATGCGAGGAATAGATTGTATGTCGTGAGGCAGAGTATTCTATGGCAAAGGCTTTCTGTCGCAGCGAGTTGTGCAGTTTTGGTGGCTATGTTGGGTTTGGGTGGTGGTGGGCAAGAAGAGAAGAAGAAGAATGTCAGTGGAATATCGTATGGCTTGTTTGCCGTCAGCGCGGTTCTGGCATGTGTCGAGAAATTGGCTTTTGTCGCCAACACGGTTTCTGTGGAGAGAGACTGGATAGTCGTGGTTTCTGAGAGCTTGGGTGCAGATCGTCAAGAGCTGAATAGCGTCATGCGCAGAATTGATTTGGTGTGCAAGCTCATTGCGCCCGTGGGCATCGGACTCGTGGACGGCTACTCGACCAAAATTGCCATCTGGGTTGTATTCGCGCAGAATGCAATTAGTGTACTAATGGAGTACTTTGCCATTGCGAATGTGTACGCCGCGGTGCCGGAACTTGGTGTTGGCAAAGGCGTCGCGCAGGCTGAAACGAATATTGCCACGGATTCACAACCGCAAGACTCTTCCCACGGGGATACCGTGTCAAACACGCCTAGCCGACGTTCCACTCTTCTCGCCAATATAACCTCACACCTGCAACCCTACCGCGCATATATCGAAAACCCCGCCTTCCTCGCCTCCTTCTCGCTTTCCCTCCTCTATCTCACTGTCCTGAGCTTTGCATCGCAAATGACGACTTACTTGCTCACCCTCGGCTTCACGAGCACGCACGTCTCCATCATGCGACTCGTGTCCGTTTTTCTCGAACTTAGCGCCACCGTCGCGGCGCCGTGGCTGATGAATAAGATCGGCGCTGTACGAGCAGGTCTCTGGTTCATCAACGAACAAGTCCTCGCCATTGCCCTAGCCATAGGCTTGTTCCACGTCTTCCCTACGAGTACGGCACCGATGTTGGCTGGCGCCGCGCTTGTCCTGGGCGTCTGTCTCTCCCGCCTCGGTCTCTGGGGTTTCGATCTCAGCGTCCAGTATCTCGTGCAGGAAGATGCGCCACCTGCGTCTCGCGGCTCCTTTTCCGCTATTGAGATGTCACTGCAAAACATCTTTGAGCTCCTCTCTTTCGCAACGACAATGGTGTGGTGGCGGCCGCAGGACTTTACCATTCCGATCTATATCAGCGCAGGCGCGATTGCATCGAGTGCGGCGTGTTTTGCGGGATTTGTAAGGCAGAAGAGGGGTCATTTGTTGCATACGGATCGGTGCTTGAAGAGGATGGGTGGGAAGAAGAGAAGGTATCAGGTGCTGCCGACTATTGAGGAGGAGGGGGACTTTGAGCTGGATGAGAGGAGTGGGCGATGAACGAGATCAGTATCCATGCAAGACGATAAATGAACAAAGATCATGTAAAAACACATGTTGGGCAGATTTTGGAGATATAAGTGATGGTTCTATTATCGTAAAGGTACGGCCATTTCAGCACTACGAAATCTCGTAGCCAGATCGGCAATACAGCATATCGCGCGAAGCCCGTACGTACTACCTATCTATCCAGAAAGTCATCCCAGGTACCCAATCATGCGAAGTTCCAGACAGCTACATCGTCGAACCACGAATATCCAGTAATCCTCAACTGGTGTTGTTCCGACTTTCCACCTCTTCAATGGAAGACAGTCTAGCAAACCTTCCAATTGTCGCCTTCGTCGAAGTCGTCTTCGTCGTCGGCACTGGGATACTCTGAGAAGAGCCGTGTGTTTGCATCATCGGGGAATGTTCCGTCGGCGACGAGACGTTCGACCATGGACCTGAGATGGTTGGATGGCTTGGGCTTGAGGGGGCCGCGGTGGCGGGCGGAGGCTGAGGGAAGCGAGGCGCTGAGAGCGATGGCGAAGAGGGCCGTAAGGGTAAGCAGGGTGGTGAAGGACTTCATTTCTGACAAGAAGAAATTGGTGTTTGGCTGAATCTGGTTGTTCAGGTTGAATGTAGAAGAATCGATCGTGATGTTGCAGTGACGGTGTATGTATATATATATTAGTAAGAGAGCAAGTAGGAGAACATACGAGCTAAGCGTGGTTGTGGATCGAAACGCCTTCACCCGACCTTTCAATCTATATCGATATGCAGGCGAGTCCAACTTGCGTAGCAATCTCTCACTGTGGTAGCCTGCGGGCCTTGGCGTAAGCCCTTCGAGAAAAAGTGACGATGGAAGCGCTCAGACCTTGTGATGTTCCCTCTCTCACCGTCGTATAAGTATAGCAATTACTCTGGTCAGACCAAACTTCTACTCCACAAAGCCTCCAGAAACCCCAACAATTACATACTCAACCTTGTCACTCAACTACCACATTGCAACAAGATGAAGTCTTTCACCTCCATCATCCTCCTCGTGGCCTTCTCCACCATTGCAATGAGCGGTGCCATTCCCCGTGGCATTGCTCCCGCTTCTACATCCACCATCGAGTCTTCTCTCGCGAATGCAAGTCCTCTACCCGCGTCGTTCGCGCACCCACTATCGCTGCTTTACCCTAGGGCTAATGAAAATCAGGACGTTCACACTCAGGTCGTCAGTAGCTCATGCCAAAAGTGCACTAAATCTTTCATCGACTGCACCAAGGTGTGTAGCTCCATGACTGCTAAGCTCAGAGTAGAAGAAATTACTAATTCTTGTCGATACATACTAGACTTGCCACGGCTCCTCGTGCCAGCGCATCTGCCTCAGCGTTCATGCTGATGGCAAGCCGTGCAAGAAGACTTGTGGATGGCCTTAGGGTGGCGGTAGATGTATTTGGGTGGTTTCACAGTATGTGGTCTTGAGCTTCACAGACGAATGTATGGAAGAATCCAGAGAAGAACTGTGCAGGGAGTAGATAAGGATGACCGGCCTGATTTAGTAGTAAAGACTCCGGGTATTGGCACCATATGTACACAAGGTTATCAATATCAAGAGATACATGGACCTTGATATTATCTGACTTTGTGACAATCATTAAGCCCACCACCGTACAAGTCAAATAAGAGACGTGGAAAAGGACCGTGGTAGCAGTCAGAACCCCAGGCATTTACCCATCTATGTTGCCGCGCGCGCCGACTTAGACGCAGCTTTTCCGCCGGCCTTGAACGTCGGCGGCCAATCCTTGTCATTCGCGCCTCCCGTGCATTATTTTCCGATCCAGCGCCATCGCATCGAGCTCATCAACTAGCACGAGATCCTTCGGTATATATTTGGTGTACGGGAAGCCAAGATAATCCTATAGAGGGAACGACAGGCGGGGCTGGGTTGATGAGTAACCACCGCCGAAGCATGTCAGCAGCCCCACTTTCGTAAACCTTCCACTTTACCCTCCGTTGAGCTTAGGCGTGTTCGCATTAAAGAGCAGATACAATCCCTTGAGCCAATGGAGGTGATCTTTCCTTTGCGCAATATTCACGCTTACTGCTATTGGTATGCCGCTTCGGTGGATGTGTATCACGCTTCACCGAGAGAGATGGCTATTTTTAGACCTTTCCACGAACATATCCAGATATGGCAGCCTCTACTCCGCAGGAACACCCAACTTCCAATGACAATGGAGTTTTTTCTACAATACCGAGCTGACCTTCCAAATGCGACAGCAGGCGACCGGAATAGTAGCAATACTCGCAGCTTGGATGCTAGAGGAAAAGCAAGGCAATTGTTCTGCGGCAGAATGTCGACGAGCTTCTATATGTTCTGCGTAGGCCACAACCAACAATTGGTACAACCACGAAAATATCTACGTCGCATTCTCTGAGACCCAGACATTATAGGCTAAAAGACACCCTGGATAACTCAAAGTACTGCCATCTCCAGTATGAGTGCACCGACCTCTTTCTTCCGGGTTAATGGCGTGGACATTACACAGTACGTTTCCACTTGCATGACACTGTCAATATGCTCACAACTTCGTAGCCTCTTCATCGCGTTCGGTGCCGTGGCGATCTGGTCTACTTTGACTCTTACCATTCGTCTTCTCACCACCATGAAGAAGCGTTCTGGAATCTACTTTTATTCTATCTTGATCGCTACTTGGGGTCTGACCATACGTCAAGTCGGCAACTACATCCAATTCTATGCACCGAGGTGTCCGTGGCAGGTCGGCTTCACGATGCAACAGCTTGGATGGGTTGGTATGATTAGTGGGTTTTCGATGGTACTCTACAGTCGACTCACCATAATCTTGGAAAGCCATAGAGCACGACGAGTTGTGCTTGGTATGATCATCTTCAATGGTTGTGTGTGGCACACAGTCATGATCACAGTGCTATCAGGCATGAGGACGACGCAATATGCGGGACGTCCAGCTGGCAAGTGATCCCTCCGAAACGAAGATGGCAAGCCATGCTGATTGTATACTTTAGACACACGCGCATGGAAGCATGTTCACGACCGCGTCGAGAAGGTCCAAGTCGTGACCTTTGCTGTCCAGGACATCATTCTTTCCTGTCTCTACCTACGCGCAGCATACCAATACCTCCAGGGCCGGTTCACACAGTCAAGCAAGACACGGAGCGTTATGTGTCTTCTTTTACTCGTTCAGTTCGTCGCCATCGCCTTCGATGTCGCCATCGTCTTCATGGACTTTGCAGGTTATCTGCAGCTCAAATTTATCGTCTTCAGCTTTGCTTATGCTGTAAAATTAGAGCTGGAGTTTGTGGCACTCAACCAACTGGTGGAGCTAAGTAAGATGGGGCTGCCAGGAATAGCTTCCATGAGTTTGAGGGCTTTCAAGACGGACGAGAACGAGGTCATGGTGAACAAGATGCCGAGCACCGCGATTCGTACATTTTCAGTGGCGAAGATGGGACCAGGCGAAACTTCGTCGGATACGCCACCTTGCGCGCCGCAAAGCTCGAGCGATACCTTGGATTTCATAACGACACCAGGGCAACTGGATGCATGAAAATTGCAAATAAACGTGCATAGACGTTAACACTCGAAACAAACCGCATTGTTCTAGCGGTTTTCTCGGTCGACCTAGTCCTGGCTTCGCCAATCGGATGTAACCTTGCTGTCGAGACGCTATCTAGTGGCGCAGTTACGGGTATAATCAGGGTGCGGTAGCTGCCCTGGTGATCTTTGTCAGTGCTGTGTCCGGGTGTGGCGTTGCGAACAAGCGTCAGGCATACAAGCATCAAGTGACGCGGGGCTGTCGGGAGTCGATACTACCTGAGTAATTCACTTGCAAGTGAGGATCATAGACTTGGTCTTCTAGAAACACATAGAGGAGATGGCGTAAGTGAGTGGAGTCGGTCCACTACAGGCCCTGCTGTGGATCTAGGCAATCTGACTAGATCTTGGAAGAGTGGAACGGGTCGCCTGAAAGACAGATATGGGTGGTTCACGACGAATACCCATCTCAAAAGATGGTGTGGTGGTCTCGTCTTGAATCGTTACTGTGTTTGGGTTGACTTTCGCTCCGCCTTCCACAGATAGCAAAGTGGTCTTCCGAGTGCATGAGCAAGTCTATTCTCTGAAACCAGTCACTTTCACTTTCACTTTGACATGTGAAGGTAAAACAGGTCGCGTGCTTGGTTCGGCGCATGTGCGGCTTCATTCTGCAAAGGCCATGGACGGCCGTCTGCCGCTTTAGATGCACCTTCGTGAAGATAGTCTCTGCAGTGCTAGGTATGTGTTGTGCTACGCCTGCTTTGGGTTGGTTGCGATAGGCTGTAAACTCCTGGCCCAAGTTGTCGATCCCAGGCACAATGTCGGTGCCTCCGTTACGAGACGTTGTTCGTGGTGCGTTCCGCAAGTTTACGTTCAGACTACCTAGGTAGCTTCCGGATTGTGTATTCTCCGCAATGCAGGGTCGAAAGCCACCAAAACATAAACCAATGACCGTTGCGAACAAATCAGGCCTCCAGATCAAAATGCACCTCATCCATCCGTAGGGTCGTGGGCAAAGTTATAGCAGGGTGAAGCACTGCGCACGAGCACATCGGAGAAAGTGTGGCGAGCCGCCAAGCAGACCTTTGGCGGACTTCCGATGACACGGAGATTTCCATTTTACCGTAGCCAGCCAATGAAGATGTTAGCGTACCGACTACCAGCTCACGGATGCTTGCAACAGAAGATCCTGCCGACATGACCGATGGCTCGGCGAGCACATGATCGTCACCAGAATAATCGATTGCCGACAATCCGATCGGCGTTGTGGAGGTGGAGCAATGATCGCTCCAGGGGGTTGAATCCTGCCATCCAATGTACTGGTAGATGCATCGCTCTTTGGAGTTGACTGTCCCTGGGTATCCACAAAATGGTAATCTACGCGATACCCACCACGGGTGGCTTGATCTATTGCGCCATGGCGTCGCAGGGCGGCTCGATTGTTCCTATCGCTTATCACAAAGCTATCGTTCTGCCAGAGCAGTTGAAAATAGACATTGGGAGACTGCTCAGTACCACTTCGACAGTGGCCAAATTCGGCGCCGTTACAAAGTATAAAATGGCAGCTTTCATGACAGGTCTATCCCTTCCGTGGTCGTGAATACAGCTCCACTAACTGCGTCGAAAAGGTTTCGTGATTATGCCCTAATTCACCTACCACCGGCAAAATGTAGAAGTCGACACCAACGGCACATATCATAGGACAACTGAGTAAGTTTCATGACATGAGTAGGTTCGGCGAGCTAGTATGGCCTTGCCCGTGCGCTTATCCACTACGGTTTCCAGAGTGAACCCTGCACTCTAAGTCTCTATACCAACATGTCTGCCCATGATCGTCGCAATTAGCTTTTGGGTAGAACTCCTGTGTTCCTCGGAATATAATAACAGCTTCTCGATCATGAAAAGCAATCATCGTTGTCCGTGCACATCGTTGTAAACCACCTTGTCAAAATGCTCCTTCTATCCCTTCGCCGAGTGTATGCTTTTGTACTGCTGGTCAGTGTCCTCTGCTTCACGACGAGCGCTGCCTCCTCGGACGCTGGGGCACTGGATGGATTGAGCCAGATTCCGCTATGCGCCGTAAGATATACACCGCACAAGAGCAAATTTCTTGTAACTGACCATCGCACAGCTGCAATGTATCACGGAAAACGTGCCTGTCATTGGCTGTGGGCTTGTTGACTTGGAGTGCCAATGCAATTCTAAGAACTCGACCAAGATCCTGCAACCGTGTTTGGAAAGGGAATGCACTTACGATGAGACTTTCGGTATGTTTATCGCAGTGATCGGAGGTAACAACACTAATGTCTTTGCAGCTACGCTCCGCGCCCAAGCCTCTATTTGCAATAGGCCGCACAACAACCTGGCGACCCCCATTCGAATCGTGGCATACGTGAGTGGCATCATACCAATCATCGTGATTGTAATGCGCTTTGGTTCCCGATATGTTGGCGGTAACAAGCTTTGGTGGGACGATTGGCTCCATCTCATAGCAGTCGTAAGTGTTCGATAGAGAGGCTAGTTTTGTCTTACTTACAGTCTCGCAGATTCTGGTCATCCCTATGACTGTTGCCCTCTTATTGAACCTCAAAGCAGGACTCGGCTATCACATATGGGATCTGACGTATCAACGCGTCGTGTCAATTGGAAGATGGAGTATGTATTCATCTACCAACTCTGATGACAGCGTACTGACTATAGACAGCCTATATTGCCACCATGTTCTGGGGTGTCGAATTGCTCCTTATAAAGTACAGCATTCTCTGTCTATATATCCGCATCTTTCCGAACCTCTGGCTAAAGCGGGCTGTCTACGCCTTCATGGTCTTCACGGCTCTATTCACCGTTCCCCTAATCTTTCTGGCTGCCTTCCAATGCATCCCAGTCCACGCTATATGGGACCTCCAAGAGCAGGGAACTGCGAAATGCATTGACTATATCGCCGTCTTGAGACTGACGGTTGTATACGAAATCATCGCCGAGACTATTCTCTTCAGTCTTCCTATTCCGATCGTGTGGAAGCTGCAGATGCAGACTACAAAGAAGATTCAGCTACTCGTCTTCTTTAGCCTTGGTATCTGGTAAGTCTTGTCTTTAACACGTTCGATTCGTGTAATCTAACTCTTCCAAAGTGTTATTGTCATGTCCATCATACGCCTACCGTTCCTGCCAGGTGTTGTCGACACTACCGATCCAACCTACACAGTGGCAGGCACATCCATCACCGGATTCATATCCAGCGGAGTCGCACATATATGCGCTGCCGTTCCCACCATCAGGAACTTGATACGCTTCGTCCAGAACGGGTTCAAGATGCCCACGAAGGATTCTTCAAGCTACGCTCCAAACCCCAGCACTTACAACTCCACGAGCAAACGAAGCTATAAGTCATTGGAGGACAAGAAAAATGGCTTCATCACAGCACAACAGCGAAGCAAAGCCTCATCCCGCGAGACAAAGGACCCATATCGCCTGTCTGCAATTATGGATGTCGAAGAAGATGGTAGAGTCGTGGAGCTACGTGCGATGGACTCCCCAACTCATGGCGATGCATTGGATGACGAGGAACGGGGTGAACAGCAAGGGAAGGGTGGGTTGGCTTTGCGCGTGGAGGAACAACTTCCTACTATCGTTCGCGAATCTCCGTCGCCAGGGTTGGAAGACTCGGCGTCTCAGAGATCTATACTTCACCAACATTCTTATGCATAAAATTAGAAGGGAAACGTTTAATGATATTCATGCCATTCAAGAAGACTGTTTTACCACTCAACGTGCCGTCTTGAGAGCTGCAACAGCAGGTGCAGCTTTAGTGGTGCACGCGGTATGCTTGGAGATGTTCGCGCTGCTGCTCGTCACTTTTCGTAGCGTACAACGACGAATCTGAAGGCATCATAGCGCCTTGACACCTAGTTGGTGAATGCGAGGAGTAGCTGATGAGTCGGAGCTTCTCGCGGAGGATGTCTCTTGATCCGCAGGCTTCTGGGAACGGTGCACAAACGTCATTTTTGCCGGAATTCAGGGTTGTTCTTCCCTCCATGCTCTGATCTTAGGGCGGTTTTCGACTGCTGTAATTTCTACAAGGACGAGGAACGTTACATTTGAGCATCGAGTCGTCTGAGGCACTACCTAGGTATCAATGCAATCTCAACACTGTTCGTCTATGGCTCGAGCGATATCATGGAAACCGGTGAGAACAACCCGGTTTTTGAACAAGCCATAATCTGCCGCGAACGAGACAAGAAAACGAGCTGTTGGTTGTGATTCGTCAACCCTCAGATTGTGGATGGTTAGGCTGAAAGCTGAAGAGCGGGGTCCCGGAACGCCTGTTGAGCCAGAAACGCTCATACACACGCATTCAACAAGCACCCGCGCCGAATTCGCTGGTATCATACATTCTACGACTCAGGCTCGCATGCGCCTTCCCAGTCGAAGCCGGCACATATACATACCATATTGCTCTTAATGATAGTGAAGGCTGTCTATGTATGATCGGGCAAACGGACCCCGAGATGCCCCAAAGGTCCTGCGACTTCGTTCAGATTACAGGGAGAAGTGACTCATCGGCCTTACAGCGCGGCCCATGGGCTTACTTTGCCACCACCTGGATTGCATCGACGATGATCAGCATGCTCCCCAAATTACGGTTCATTGTATCAACATTGAGGCAGCTTAGCAAACTGTTGAGATGTCCCCCTTCGAGGCCGTACCGTACCACAGCTGGGTGATGGCCTTGGGTATCTATCCGCCGCGGTCCACCCATTATAAAACAGCTGAACTGAAAGAACCATCTCACTCCATGTTCACGAGCAGGCTTCCGGAGTAGCTGAAACGCTACGTACTGGCAGCGTTCCGACTGGGACGTACCCCTCTATCGCGCGAGGCTGAGAAACACTTTCGAACGAAAACGCATGGTGGCGCGTGGTGCCCGATGATGACACGTCTATCTTACATGAAGCTAGCCGAATCGCACGCCAGTGATATGCACTGACGAAGGGGGTATTGGCCGAAGGAATAAATACCTAGGTAGAGTGCCTGCCGCCGCAGTGAAAGCTTTCGTCCAAATTCTCGCAAACAGCTGGCTCTCCTACACTAAATCGACGATGTCAGGTGACGGTGACAGCCTTATAACCCTTGATGATCCCAAGTGTCCCGAATTTGAACCAGGTGCGACCGCCGCCTATCTCGTTGTGTGCTGAACTGTGTACTGAAATGGCTCTTAGAGATTGTGAAAGGGTTTGAGAGAGCTGTTCTCGGCTTTACAATTTTTACAAGATACAGCTTAAAGAGAGTAATAGTACTTAATCAATTGCTCAAGAACATCAAGCAATGCTCTGTGGAGCTCTTGATGAAGGAGATCGACGATGCTGAGGAACTCACGACATTCTGGGATCGATTAGAATCTGAGCAGCGATGGCCACTGTCCGGTTCGGATATACATGAGACTGTCTCACTGACGCAATCTGAAATCCGTGCGCACAGCGATCTATACGACGATGCCATCGACGTTGCAAAATCAGCGATACTTGCGACTATTCTTCACACCCTTTTGGGTACACGACATGTCACTGTCTGGTTAAAAGCCAAGATAAACATCGCAAAGCGAAGCGAAAATGGATATCTGCTCTCGAGAGCTGTTAAGTGGAGGCTGGCGGACACTATAGAGCTATTGTTGGTTTCCGGAGCAGATCCCCAGAATCATGGTATTGACGTCCTGAATCCCATTAATGGGTACGGCTTGCTTAACAGGGATGAAATTCATTTCTCCATTGCAGCTCATCTGTTCCTGAAGCTGATTCCCATGAACTACTACGAGTCATTCAGAGAAGACAAGCCCCGGGCAAAACCAATTGTGCGCGCTCGTCGTCTACGAAAAGATGTAGGCCCGTTTAGTCCCGACGATATCCAGAAACCAAGCTTGACCTGGATCCATGTTCGGAGAAATAACGTGAGTTAGCAAAATCTGTGTTTGAGAAGCAACCAAGCTAATCTTGACAGCTTCTGTTGATGATGGTATGAAAGCTCTTCTTTTATATTGATCAAGTAACGAATGTCACAAAGGCCCCTGTACGAAGTTATACTTGGAAAGCTGCTCAAACGTTAGGCGAAATCTTCGGAGCCCTGAGACGTGGCTCTGATGATTCTCATCTGGCTTATTTGGAGCCGACATATCAATCAAGAAGCTTGCAGATGTCTGAGGAGGTATGACAAAGGCAGCCATCTCCGCAACGTCTATAGGATTATCGCAACTTACCATTCATCCAGAAAAACCTATTTAGTCGCCGCGAACCATGTGAGGCGAAGTGTTCAGCGATTGTAGTTAGTAGACCACGCTATCCTTCCTGGCTTGAAGCTTACACTCAAAGTTTCCATATCTAGTGCTTACGACAATCGGGCAACAAAAGGCTAAAAGACGGAGGCACGAGAAGCTCAAGAGAGATCTAAAGCTCAATGAACATATTCTCTCTTTCGACCACTTGGAACGCACCTTGGACGAGGCGTACTATCCGGGCCTCTCTCGTGAAGCCCTGGAAGTACGCAATCATGATCAAGTGGTCTCACACAGTAAAGACGACTTTACCTCCTTTGATAAGCGAGACAGTGGCTCGAAAAGAACCAGTGGAGAAGCATTCATCCTCATGGTGCCGCAGCTCTGGCTTTACAAGTTGGGTAATGTCGTCATATCTGCTTACAGTATGGATCAGGGAACTCAATACGCGTCCAATAGAAAGCGGCGAGGACTTCGTTACTATGACAGAATCCGATACGGTGACGGGAGAGAACAAGCGACACCTGCGGATATCCACCTCGGCTTGATCATCACTAGCTTCATAGATAGGTTTGGTAAGACCTACTGGGATGACGATGACCTCATCCATCCGCCTCCACTGGATCTTTTTGAGACAAGAGTGGTTCAGCTTCTGTCGGAAGTGAGGAAGTACATCGAACAGCCTTCTGGAGGAAAATCGAGTTCCAGTGGACTTGAATACCGCCGGGAGCGATACTTCATACACGTCATATCCGATGTGCGCAGCGAGCTTGCTATGATACAGCATGTTCTCGACCAACAGGAGCGTATCTTAAAACAGTTTCTCAAAGATTGCCTACCTGCAAGCGAAAAACAGCATTTACCAGATTGGGCACCAATCGAAGCTTCTCAAGAGACCATCCAACAGTACATGAGAAGAGTAAAGAAGATCGACGGCGATGCGGACAGAATCGAGAAGAGCATACAGGACATGCTCAACCTGAAGCGCACGCACGCTAGTATCAGGGAGGCACACAGCAGCCTCATTGTGAGCACCGCTGTTATCGGATTTACCGTCATTACGATCGTCTTCACACCACTCGCATTTCTCACGGCACTTTTCGCCCTCAAGATTGACGGATTCGAGAACCTCCAAATCTCCGGTAGTGATGGCGTTTTCCATAGCGGCAAGATTGGTGGCATATTTGGTAAGTAGACCTTGATCGCTGCATGAATATTGCGGACAAGAATGCCTGATCGAAACCTGTGTGAATATTGGAATGCATACTTGCTAACTCTATATAGCGAGTACTGAGATCTTGACACTAGTATTGACAGGTATCGCAGTATGGCTAGCATTCAAGTACATAAATCGCGACCAAGAACGTTCCTCGAAAGAAAAGACAGTTGCTTGGCTGGAGGGCTTCACATCCCGGTCCAAAGGACAAATCAGAAAGAAGCGTGCGAAAGTCGCGGATATAGAATCATCAGGGCTGGACGAGCTCCAGGGATCAATTACACGTTCCTCAGAAAGTTCCGATTCGCGAGCTTCACTACATACATCGCAGGTACAAGATGAAACTGAAGATGAAGACGGAGATGAAGATGAAGACGAAGATGAAGACGAAGACGAAGACGAAGACGAAGACGAAGACGAAGACGAAGACGAAGACGGAGACGGAGATGAAGATGGATATAAAACTATGTTGACTCGCAGTGCGAGTGCTGCGACCTGGCCTATGGATCGGAAAGCCCAGCTGAAACATCCTCACAACAGAGGACGTGGAAGAGTCGTGGATCCGGAATTATTAAGACAGGGCGAGCCCCAAGAACCAACAAGTTCCTCGGAGAATCCTAACCCTACAACTGCACCACACACACCGCAGCCACAAGATGAAGTCACATCGATTCGCAGCATATGAGAGTACTACCGAAGGCTAGGAGGTGCGACAAGGTGATAGTACGTCGCGTGAATTCGAAATAAGATCTTCAGGTGTAGACAAGGCTGTGTAAATCAGCGAGACCACATGGTGCAACCAATCGTACCCGAGAATGCACATATGAAAGACTGCCGCACGCCATTGATCGGGTGCTCATCCGATCACACGCACACCTTCAAACCCATTGACTCACGGCATGCCCGCTGTTGTTGTGTTAATACGCGAGTCTGTGAAAGTATACGTGCGAATTGCGTTCTCTTAGCGGCTAGACGGGTCACTGCAAAGGACTAATTCACCATAACGCAACGTCAAGCAAGTGAACACATGCACCATAGCATTGATATTTTGGCAGCTATCATGCATCAGCATTCATAACTATAATAAACGAATTCATGCCGTCATACAGTCATATCGCAGTAATGGGGGTATATCAACAATAATCCACCCTCCTACAGCCATTCTGTCAGCCATTCCCATTACTCATATCCTCAGCCCCATTATATCACGTCACTTCTCCCATAAAACCATATCTCTCTCTAAGCCCTATCAACGTATCATAACCGACAGGGTCAGATACACATGCGTCCGACTCCTAGCCGACCACCACCATAACCTTAGGCTTCTTACCAGGCCGCTCGCGATCTTCGTTGACGACCCTAGTGTGTTCCCGGATCTCGTTGTCAATGTCGTCTTCGTCTTCGTCTTCGTCTTCGTCTTCTTGATCGTCCTCCAAATCGATAACGTGCGTACGTTTCCGGGAGGGACCACTGTCGCTAACTGTAGAAGGGCTGCTCCCACAATCGTCTAGTACTTCAGGTGCGCTAGATCTCAAAGGCAACGTTGGTGCCATGAATCTACGGAGTCCTTTCTCGTTGATCAGTGCAGGCTTTGCTTCACCATTCGCCACGCCATCAAGAACCCGCAGCTGCCTACGGAGGTCTTTGACGTCGCGGTCTGGGTCGAATCTTGAGACCTCGCGGCCGTTGACAAACTTCAGGTTCAGCGCGTCAGCGCGGTTGTCGCCCCAGTACCATGTAGCACCAGGCTCTTTCGCTATGCGGTGGTCATGCTTTCGTGAAAAAGCCCGGGCTTCTACTACAGCTTGTCGGCCAACATCGAGCGTTGGAAAATCGCCATAATCGGACTTGAGAAAGTATGCCATGGGATCCCGCTCGTACAGGCGGCCGAGGACGCGGGAGTAAGGGATCGCGAGTTCCTTGTCTGCTGGGTGTAGTGGAAACCATTCCGCATAATCAAGTGCTACACGCGGAGCTGCGAAAGCGAAGATACGAAGTTAGCGCATAGCTCGTGCATTTCGTATAGTCAGAACTTACCTTCAACGTTTTGCTCGGTGACCCAAAGCTTGTTGCCGCGTGAGCTGTCGCTCGTATAGGCAGATCCATATATCCAGACTTCTGAGTTGTATGGTCTTCCTTCATCGTAGTCGTTGGTGGACGCTTTTTCGAGATTGGTCCATTTCAGTCGGATAGACTTGATGCTCAAGACATCGGTGCACTTAGACTGGCGCTTGTTGGGTAACAGGCGGACGGTGTCACCAACACCAAGCATTTCAGCGCCGATGTAGATGCCATGGCAATAGATGCTTGTGTTTGGCCAAGTCCCACGGAAGCGGTGCTTACCCACAAGAGAGAGCGTTGATGACAGAGCTAAGGCATTCTTAATGCTAACGTGCCAATTCTCTTGAGGGATGCGGCGCAACAGATCACCCCAAAGGACGAACGGGCGTATTTGTCGTAGCGGTACATACTTGTGCCTGAAGTTGAGTTTACGAAGTCAGTGTTTGTCTCACATACATTTTGTACAGGGACACTGCTTACTGTTTAGAAAGAGATTTGTTCACGTTGTTTGGGTCTGGAATTGGCTCAACCCGCACGCCTGTGTTCGACACATTCTGTTGCTGATCAGAATCGACAAGGTCGGTAATCGTAGTACCAGTGGCGGCCTCAGTGACAAGACCGGCCACCCACTGCGGAGCACCCAGGTTGTTCTCACGACGCTCATCGTACAGTCGGAATTCTTTCGTGTCGGTTTCGTCTCGAACTAGATCAACACCGTCGGGTATGTAGCGAATATACAAGACAATGTCACCGGTGCGTGGTACCCATTGCTCGTTCGTCTTGATATCATCAAGTAATCTAGGGAGCAATTCTTGCTCTGCTCTCCAGTCTGGACTTAACGGTTCTTCAATAGACTCATCCACGTGCTGGTCTCGGCGGAGCTTGTCAATGAGATTCCGATAGACGTCCGGAGTTCCCTCACCATCGACGTTGCTCTTATCTAGGCCTGGCGTAATCTTCTTCAGGCGCCTTTTGTGCTGTGCTGCTAGGCTAGGAAGCGCGCTAGGTTGAACACTGCGAGAGCTGGAAGGGCGACTCGAAATCGGTGCGGACGAATTAGACTTCTGCAAGGTCACACTCGGTGTTCGTGTCCGCGAGCTATTTGGTGTAGCTCCGGGAAGGACGCCTACGCTGCCGCTGCAAACCTTGCACGGACAACCCATGCCGATCCCGTCGTTCTCCATCATATACTCAAAATGTGGGAAGAAGCGATTTGGAGAGTCAAAAGGCTTCTTTCCAGGATGTCCATATAGATAGCGATCGACATGAGCTGGGTTGGAGGGTCGCGGACGCTGCCATAGCGAGTATCCAAATGGCAGAGCTTCAAGGATGTACTGGACCCCTGGCCGAGCCTCTTTGCGAGCTTCCATCCATTGTCGGCCGATTTTTTCTAGATATAGAGTTGGAGGATCGACGCGAGTGTACATCCCCGGCGCGGGGACGTGAAGGGGATCGCCATCAGAGCAGCCAGGGACGAGTCGGACTACAACCCGATTGGACGGCATGTTGGGTTTCTGGTGTAGGGAGATTGTCCGCAATGAACTGCGTACATGTGGCGGCTTAGATACTTACGTAGGCTCTGGGAGAGTTCTTAATTAAAGCGTGTTTGCAGACGTCATGAGAAGACGGTAGGCGAGAGCATGTTTGCAGGCAGTCGCGTTTGCGGCTTCAGACGCGTGAGGAAAGTACGCAGTGAGAGCGAGGACGCGTGAAGAAGGCGTGCTCGGCAGCTAGCGTGACTCATCAATCATCAAACATCAAAGACAGCGAACACTCCAGCTGTCTCTCTCACACGGTGAGTATATCATCCAAATTCACCTTTACAGGCCGGCACGTGAAAGACCCTGGAGTTGAGGTCCAGTCGGTTTGCCATCCAGATCCCTCGGCGCGGATCCCTGCTGCCGAATGCAGGCACAGGCACCAGGAACACGGAACTTAGCGGACAGCCCCTAATAAATCCTCCAAAACAAAAAACACCTCAGGACGCGAAACGACGCCACAAACAGAGTTCGCTCGTGCGACACAACGTCTAGAAGACGGCACAGCGATGATGTCTCCATCTGACCCAGGAAATGAATGTGTCCCACTGAACCCCAGGCCGTGAAGCACGCCACCATCCTGTCCCTTTTCACAAAAGCTCCCGACGAGCTTCCATGATCACCAGCTACTGTATCCATGGCGCACCCGTTCCCGACGCAGCACCGTGCAGCTCCAGCGCGCTCCACCGATGACCAGCGACATGAGTGATGGTCAGGAGAATGGGATGATTTTCTAGCCATGTTCGGTTTAATTCGATACTATAACGGTCATTAGCGCGTGATAGAGCGCAGACGCCAGGTGCTCGAGGCCTTAGTAGGAACATGTCAACAAGATTCGCCCCGTACAAGCTTTCGCTTGCCATCATGGTGCAAGCGGATGTGTCGTACCTCACGGCTGGAGACAGGATAGCTCCTGATATCTTCCTCTGACTCTCAACTCACTTCAACCGTCGTTCGTTATCTTCACCCGTCCGCTCCCAAGCTATAGTGCGCGATATAGCGGCAAGCCACCCGCACGAGCGATCATAGCTGCGAGAACGTCGACTGTTTCTTCTGCCGGACGGAACAGCATTACACCTTTCGATTCACAAGCAATATAGCTCACCAGTGCCATCACCGACCTAATGAACTTCATTCGCTCCAAGCGCGCCAAATCATACTATCCTACCGAGGATGACCGGCCGGCAAAGCGCATCTCGACACCGGCTGGCCAGCGTCTCTCCGTGATCCTCGAAGCCAAACGCGGCAAATCACCTGCGGCCACACCGTCCAAGACGGCCAAGATTGAGGTCACCACCGAAAGTACATTCTGCAACGACCCATCGCATCAACATGTCGGACCGGTACAGCATGGACATGTGCACAGGAACGAGAAGAAGGGTGGCTTTATGTCGGTGTTGACGGGCGGCAGACTGACCACGCCGAGGGAGAGCAGCGAGGACCGACCACACAATGGGAGCAATCTTAGTGTCAGCGTATGGAGTGATAGAGATGAAGAGAAGTTTGGACACGTCCGGCAACGAAGACGACGGGGGCTCAGTGCCTGGGGATGGAAGAAGATTGCTGTAGTTGCCGCTATCATCATTGCGCTGATTGTGGCTTTGGGCGTTGGGCTGGCCATGGGACTGAAGAAGGATCACAAGAGGTATGTTGATATTCCAGTTGGCGTCCACAAAGACGTCTGAGGCTAACGACGTTTGTAGCAGTTCATCTGAAGCTTCCACATCTACAGGCGGCTCAACATCGGCTGGTAGCGACAGCAAACCTGCATCAGACAGCAACTCCGACTCAAACTCACCCACCGCCACCGACTCTCCCTCATCCGTATCCTCATCTTCTTCCTCACCCGCTGTCCCCTCGAACTTCCCAGTCGGTAGCTGGTCGCTTGTACTGTTCCTCGACACCGTCAACACCGGATGTACCGCGGATCCCGATACCTGGACCTGCCCGCCAAACACAAATTACTACGACGATCCACAAAAAGCTCTCACGATCCTCAACTGGGACATCAGCGGCTCATCAGGCTCGTATAAGATATCGTCCGGCGCACAAGACGACACGTTCGATACTACATTCCAAAATGAAGATCTCGAATTGTTAGACTCAGGGAAGGACACGGAGCGATACAGGTTCCAGATCTCGCGGTCAAAGACTGTCAACGTGACTGGTAGTCTTGGAAACAAGAGGGGCGACTTTGAGTGCGACTACGGTGCGACGAACGTGAACGGGTATCTGTACACGAAGATGCAGCAGACGTATCCAGACGACACCATCGCTGTGGGAAAGGTCGCGAACAA